CAGTGCTTCATTTATGATGTCACGTATCTCTGCGCTCGATGTAAGTGCGCCGCTACTTAGTACTTGTGGGATGGGCGACTCGCCTGCCACTTTGGTAGCTTTGCGTGTCATAACGTTACTGGAGGCGGTCGTGGGTGACGATGACGATGCCGTCTGCTTGACGGGCGTATTTGTGTTGTCGCCTCTAGACTGTTTACTGTGACAATTGGGGCATTGCCAACTAGCTTTTTGAGTATCCGACATCTTTTTAAGGTTTTTGTCAGATATGTTAACGCATAGGTTGTGATAACATTGTTTACAACGCGCGCAATCGATGCGACCGATGTTATTGTGTATTTTGTTTAAACAACCAACGCAGGTAATCATCTTGGATAATAGGTACGTACAGCTATACTGCGCCGGCGATACAGCAGCGAACGAAGTGCGGCCCGTTGATTTGATAGGGACGAAAAATAGCATCTGTCTCTCACCGTGCCGGGGGTGAAGTGCGGCTCCCCGCTGCGGCTGCCTCTAGATGCGGTGCGGATACGGGAGAGCAATTATTTTCGCTAATGTCGTCTCCTTCACGCTAAGTGACTAATAAGCCAGTGATGATGTTTGTGTTCTCACAGGTGCACAAGGTTATAGACACTCCGTACTTGCAATTTGGTAGTCCTTTACGGGACACTTTTGTTTGCGACCCTGTTTACAATTTATGACTGTACCTCACGACACGTCCACTTTGTTAAGCTTTCGAACGGCGAATCCAGGTTCAGGAAATGTTAAAAAACGACATCATTGAGGAAACCGTTTCGGAATGGTCTAGCCCAGTACTTTTAGTACCCAAAAAGGTCGATAAAAATAACGAAAGAAAATGGAGATTGGTCATAGATTACAGGAAATTAAACGATCGAATTCAAGATGACAAATTTCCGCTTCCCAATATAACGGAGATACTTGATTCATTGTCAGGCAGTATTTATTTTTCAAAATTAGACCTCTCCCAATCTTATTATCAATTGTCCTTAAATCCAAGTTCCCGTAAATATACTTCTTTTACATTAAATAAAATGTATCAGATTTCTTTAGATAATGAGTCACGAAAGTACACTACTTTTACGGCAGGAAAACAGTATCAAATGAAGCGGTGCCCAATGGGTCTCAAGACAAGTGCTAGTGTCTTTTCTCGGCTGATGACTATAGCCATGGCAGGCCTAAATTACGAAAAATGTTTTTTATACCTAGATGATTGCGTCGTAATCGCTTCTAGTATCGATATTCATAACAAAAATCTCATTAGCGTATAGAATCGATTAAAAAAAGTTAATCTCAAACTAAACCCAATTAAGTGCGAATTTTTAAGAAAAGAAATAGTCTATTTAGGTCATAAAATTACTCAAGACGGAATATTCCCAGATCCCAGTAAAATTGACACCATACGTAATTACCCACGCCCGACTTCTGCTGACGAAGTAAAACGACTCGTCGCGTTCGCCAACTATTATCGTCGGTTTATTCCACGTTTTGCTGATATTGTGTTCCCATTGAATGCATTAACTAAAAAAAGGTATTAGATTTGAGTGGACTAAAGATTGCGAAAGTTCGTTTATTACATTAAAATCTGCTTTAACGAACCCTCCAGTGTTGGACTATCCCGACTTTCCGGAAAATAACACATTTCAGTTGCAGACAGACGCATCTAAGTTAGGCTTAGGCGCCGTACTCTCAAATAGTAATGGAAAGGTTGTCGCTTACGCTAGTAGGAGTTTGAACCCGGCAGAAACTAGATATCCAATAATAGAATTAGAATTATTAGCTATCGTGTGAGCAGTCCGTCACTTTAGGCCTTACTCGTACGGCAGAAAATTTAAAATCTTTTCGGACCATAGACCCCTTGTTTACTTATTCGGTTTAAAAGACCCGTCTAGTCGTTTAACAAAATTCCGACTATACCTTGAAGAATACGACTTCGAAGTAGAATACGTCCCAGGGCGAAATAACGCAGCTGCAGATGCGTTAAGCCGACTCCCGGTGACGTCACGCGATTTGAAAGAAATGCAGGAAAAAGTAGTATCCGTTTTAACTAGAGCTCAAAGGAAAAAGTTAGAGCCCCAAACGGACACCGGACAGATAGACAAACAGCCTCCAGTTAGTAGGCCTGATCAACCTACTACTGTAGAGTTGTTAAAACGACCCAATGACATAATAGAGTTGCGTTTTCCAGGAAATAGTAACGAAAAACATTTGAATAATGCGTATAATATTTTGTCCGACGCTAAACTTTGCACGTATAACCCGTCGTTATCGACCATATTCCTATATTCTCGATCGTTATCGTCTCTAGAAGAGTTAGCGAGAGATCTAGAAAAAATGTGCATAAAATTAAATATAAAAGAATTACTCATAATTAAAAACAAGAGTAATGAGAAAAATATTAAGAGTTTGCTGCGCAGCATAAAAATGTATAAAATAGCGTCACCACGATTTTTGATTATTAAAGACATTAAGCGAATAAATAATAAAGAAGAAATTACCACGGTACTTAATGACTTTCACCTGTTACCAACAAGTGGTCATGCAGGCATGAATCGTATGTTAAATAATATTAAAAAATATTATTTCTGGCCAGGTATGAGCAATGACGTCATGAACTATGTCCGCAAATGTAAAAGTTGCCAAATTCAAAAGCATACTAACAGAAATATTAGAGATCCTCTGACAATCACTTCAACTGCTAACTCAGCGTTTGAACAGGTTAATTTAGATATTATGGGCCCTTTAGATATAGATAACTATAATAATAAGTATATTTTAACAATCCAGTGTGATTTAAGCAAATTTGTAGAGGCTTATCCTTTACCTAGAAAGGATAGTGAAAGTGTTGCTAGGTCTTTCGTTAATAATTTTATTTTGCGTTATGGAATTCCAAGAAAAAATTTAAGTGACATGGGGACCGAATTTACCTCATCACTTATGTCCGAAGTTTTCAAATTGCTACATATAGAAAAAATCCATTCAACGCCTTATCATCATGAAACCTTAGGAGGCATTGAAAATACACATAAACATTTAGGCGCTTACCTCAGAATTCAGTGCAATAATAACAAGTCAGATTGGAGCGAATGGGTTCCTTTTTGGTGTTTTTGTTACAATACAAGCGTTCATTCAAAAACAAAATATACTCCATACGAACTAGTTTTCGGCAAAATTTGTAATATTCCTAGTAATTTATCAACACATGTTGACCCACTGTATAATTTCGATGATTACCCTAAGGAGTTAAAGTACCGTTTACAAAAAGCACAGTTGGATGCTAAGGAAAATTTGTTAATAAGTAAAAATTTAAGAAAAAGGAGATTTAATCTTAATAAAAAACCAAACAGGTAACAAATTAGATTGTTTGTATGACCTTATAAAGTTTTGGAAGAATTACCACCTAATGTAAAATTTCTAAAAAATAACAAAGAAATTATTTTACATAAAAATAACACAAAGCCATTTCAATTGTAATGTTTATCTTTGTAATCAAAAAAAAAATGTTTGCTTTTCAGATAAGTACCTATACATTCATTATGTTATTAGTCTTAAGTTATATGTACACTAATCATTTTTTTTTCCTAAAGAGGGTAGTGAGGTACCCCTTACTTTTCGGGGGGAGATGTAGTGCATTACCTAGAAGTTTTATATTTCATGCGCGAGTCCCGTGTGACTCTGCTGCGCAAGAGCGTTTAGCATAAGTTAGATTTTATAAGAAATGATTGTATTTGGGACTCAATAAACGACCGACGTACGGTGAAGACGTATCTTTTCTTTTTCCCCACTCGTACCATGCCTCAATATATATAGATTATCGGGGATATAACGTTACTATGTTTTAAATTTCTCTGCATTAGATAGATTTCGTAGTATAGTTGCAAAGGTTTCCTTTTCTAGTACCGAAACCGATTTCGCTGCTGGAAATAGTAGAATCTGCGTGCGGGACCATTCGTAATGACTATTTTACAACACGTAGACGTGGCACATAATTGGATTCGGCCAGGAGTTCTTCAATAGAGTGTTGTCCCCCTTCTTGGAGAAACAAGACAACAGCACTTCTTCTTCACGCCACTGGAGTAGCGCCACCATGGACTAAGGAATTAAAGAGTTATTGAAGGTTTTTTTTAATACTGACATTCCAGCCACAATAAGATTATCCGCAATTATTACATACTTGCCATTTTACGATACTGGAGAGCCATTATAATCTCGCTCAGAATGACGTCTAGGAGATTTTTGGAATAGCGTCGGAACAAACTTGCTCTTGGATCGTGCACTTGCGTGTGTGCGCGACATGTTAAGTTGTTATTTTAACCTTAAAATTTTTTTTAGTTAACTAATCTTTTATTTAAAATTATAATATTTACAATTAATACTAATTATACACAATATAAAAAAGAAACTATAATATATATAAATAAACTTAATAGAAAAAATAACATTAAAAATTTAAATAGTCAAAAAAGTCCTGCTCTCCGTGGTATAGTGCCAAGAACGCTGGCTGCGTTTCCTCGCTGAATAGCTATACTTAGCCTTTGAGCGAGGAAAGAACCAGCCCTCTTATCACCAGCAGCGACGACCAGCCGTGGATACAGTTCCTTTAGGAAGTTCACTACACGTGGACCCCACGGACCGATAGTCTCTACAGCAAATAGCACAAATATGTAGTCATTTCTCAAAGACTCATATTTGCGCCATTTACTGAATTCGGCTGCTTCTGATGCCGACCCGCCACCTTTTAATCTCGCTAAATATCTCAAGTATTCCGAAAATAATGCCTCTCCCATCCTTTCTCTTTCCAGCAGACAGATCTCTAGCAAAGACTTTAGAGCATCGAGCTGTATTGTAGTTACGTAAGTCAAAATAGACTAACGTGAAATAACAATAACGTTAAGTATTGCGATTTTTCATAAGTTATTTAGAAAATTTCTCTTTCTATTCATAAAGAAATAAAATATGATATACCTTATAAATATAGGACATACCTCTCTGTTTTGATCTTCTTTAGCTTTATCCACGTTGCTGTGCCCGATTGTGTTGCACGTGATTGTTATGCACACGTCGCCGTGGACGAATCTGTGGACGATGCAAGTTTTATGTGTAAACAAACATCTACTTACTTGTTAATACGAAACCTACCAGAAAAACGTAGCATTACACCTATTCACAGTTTGCGTGGCTTAGTATCACAATTGCTTAACTAATGCACTCTGAGCAGTCATTTTAGAGAAATCACGTTTTTATCTGTTACATACCATACCATACCATACCATACCATACCATACCATACCATACCATACCATACCAGTGTTTGACTACTATTGCACCCTATAGTAAGTGGTGATTGAGCCGGAGTCGGTAAAATGCTTAGCTAAACTAGAATAACCGTGTTAAAGTATGATGACGTATGTTTTACGTGGTAGAGCCATGCTTCAGCTATTTTATGGTTGAAGCACGGATAGGTCGGCTCGATTAAGGAAAGACCACGCTCTCACAGAATACCAGCCTAATGCAGCTGAGTTCCGTATGGTAGATGTAAAGACCTGGACACCCTTTTTTATTCAAAACTAGACATTCCATCTTCGTTCTCAGGGTATAACAACACATCTGCTTTTTGTTTCTTAATCAAGGATAGATGTGGGTGTCTATGGATCACAGCAGCAATTTATCATCAGGTAGAATGTGTGCTCGTTTGCCATTCTTAATTTATATAAAAGCATCTATACGAAAAAGACGGCTCCGCAGCGCATTGGCTTAGCAATGAGTTGCAGCGTTGAGAGTCGCGGGTTTGAATCCCGCACGTAACAAGTATTTCTATGGTTTACAAATAATTGTTACAGGTCTGGATGTTTGTGCTTGTGAAATTCATGAATGACAACTGCCTTCATGATACAGTAGAAAATCTTGGTCTTTTTTTATAGGAAAAGGGTGACAAGCGAGCACACAGTCCACCTGATGGTAAGTGGATGCTGTGGCCATTGACATTTGTATCTATCCTCGTTTGCGAATCAAAATGAAGATGCGTTGTCAGCCTTGAGGACTAAGATGGAATGCCTCTTTTCCAGTAAAAAGGATCTCCGGTTCTCTACACTCACCATACGAAACACAGCAGCATTAAGCTGCTATTTGACGCTGGTATTCTGTGAGAGCGTGGTCCTTCCCCGGTCGAGCCGACCCGTTCGTGCTACAACTATACAATTAATATAGCTGCAGTATGGCTCTACCACGTAAAACTGGTCTGGAGGTAACATAAAAAAAGATTGTGGCAGGTACTTGCGCACGTGTCGGTTCATGGGCAGCTGGCAGCCGACGGCCGGGCAGCGCTGCTGCGCGTCGAAGCAGTGCCGCTGCAGGAACGCGCCCAGCGAGATGTCGTGCCGCCCGTACATCTCCATCGTCGCTATCCTGCGCGTGTGCAACCAAACTCAGTACGCACATATTGACGATAGTTTCCATTAACCCTTCAAGCGCCATAAAATTCCCATGCCACAGTACTTAAAACCCTTAAAACTTATTTAGAGACTACTTTTCCTTGAAGAAGTTTAGCATTATAAAATCTATACAAAATTCTCTATCTTGTGGTCTAAACAATAGTCAGGTTTTACTTCATTAGAAAAAGATTTTATTGTATTTTGGTAACAAAAACTATACTAAAACACTAAAAAATCCAAAAATCAACACAATAACAGAAAATGGCGAACGAAATAAATGTAAATTATAAATACCTAAATATACATAGGATAACAGTTTTTTTGCACTACAGGATAGAGTATTTCATATTGATTATATAATGCCAAACTTCTTCACAGAAAAGTAGTCTCTATATATAAGTTTTTATGGATTAAAGTGCTGTGGGTAGGTGCGACCTCATGAAACCGCTAGTGATTTGACGGAATATGGCCGCGGTCTCCTGAGACCGCTAGGGGGTGTAAAGATTAAAAATAACCAAGGTTTTAAATTAAGAACCGGGACTTGAATTAATATCATTCAATAGTATCAATTATTGATGTAAGTATTAATAAAACTATCATATTATGGTGGTTCGTTTTTGAAGTTGTCTACGAAAAATGCCAATCAGATCTCATAGTTTTCGATACCGATTCGGAAGTGATATGATAATAACACCATAGTTCGTCAGTTAACACCCGAGTCTTTGAGACAAAATTTTTTTATGTATATCTGCCTCACTCGCACTCGTTAGGCTTATGGAACACCATAGTGTTGTGCGAAGTAATAGCGAGTGTATGTCGATAAATTATAAAGTAGTAAAAAAAAAGATTTCTACCAACAGCAAATAATTAGACAAATCAATTCACTTTCTGTATACGAAATAAGTTTTATTAGATAGATTAGAATAAAACGTATAAAATGGAAAGAAATATTTTACTAAATAATTAGGATAAATATTTTATTATTAATGTTAATCATCTGGTCATCCACGTCATTGTTGTGGCTTATGGAAGTTCAGTCAAAGTTTATAAGTTTATATCATTAATTAAAATTTATTCGGAACATTGAATTCAATAAATTAAATTAATAAAGTTTAACTTCTTGAATTCCGTTACCGCATAAATTTTCAAGTTTGCTCAGTTACGATTATTGAGGACGTAATGAAAGAAGGTAATAGGATGACAAAGTTTAACAATGGCATGGATACGTGGGTAGTACTGACTGGATACATGGATATATATTTGTAACACAGGGATTATCTTTCTTTACACAACCAATCAATGGCCAGTGTGCGTACTGAGGGTTTCTAAGTCTTGTCGATCACATGCTAGAAAATAGATATGTGGTAGATATTTCGCAAGTCAAGGTACATTTTTATTGTGTTACCAACGTATATGACCAGACGACTCGCACGACATCGGCCAAACTAACATTTTTATAATTTTATATTTTAAAAACTATTATGCACTGAAGAATGAGAAAAATGAAATCTAACCTTATTGGAAGGTACAACTAAAACTTTTAAAAGTATAATAGAAAGTAGATTACTCCTTACCAAGGATTGACACAGAAATCGGGCACATTAGCAGATTTATCACTGTAACTGTATAACAGCAGACTCAGACGCTGATGGTTTTCTGGCGCGAGCGGGTCAAGTTCTTCGATCACTTCGCTCTGCTTCTCAGCGGCTTCGGTTTCGGGTTCATCTACCTTTAGTACCGACGCCTTGTATTGCGGACACTGGGCTATAAAAAGTGTAATTTTGTTTTATGTAGGAGCCAGTCAAATTCCACGAAGTTAAAAGTCATTATTCAATGTTTAAATGTTTATTGTTTAAATTATAAGCGACAGTAGCCTAATTGCAGGGCGCGGACCGTGAACTCTAAAAGGTCGTGGGTTCGAATCCACCGTTCGACTACTGGCGTGAACCACTCGTAACACAAACAATTTAAGCTTAGCACGAGTGGTTAAGGGGAATATTAGTAATATTTATATAGCATTGTTAATATTCTTTATAAAAAAAATTATTAGTTTCTGTTATTTCAAGATCATTTAATTAACAAAATTATTAACACGACAAAGTACCGGAGCTGCAGTTTGCTGCAAAAAGCCTAGCCCGATTGACCTTGCGAATGCTTTATCACAATTCGCACCACCACACCTACGTAAAACATTAGCATATCGGGCTTTTGTATTATTCGTTTTAGCTAAGTAAAAATAAATAGCGATTCTGGCAAGAGCCCGTCTACTGTACGATTTTTGTACATTTATACTCATGCACATGATTCTGCGAGGATAAGCAACTACAAGGATGTGGTTATTTGAAAAAAAGATGATTATTATATATTACAAAAGTAATTTTCTCATCTGGTTCGGCTGCATAAATATATTGAAGAAAGTAATATACATAAATACATATTTATCATCCATCATTACATCCCTTCATAAGTCTAGTGCTGTACATAGGCCTCGCCCAAGGAGTGCCACAAAGCACGGTCCCGAGACACCTGCATCCATCGACTCCCTGCACGTCTTACCAGGTCGTCATTCCATCGAGGGGACGCCCTAAGCTCCGCCTGCCGGTACGAGGCTGCCACTCGAACCTTTCTTCCCCATCGGTTGTAGGTTCTTCGAGCTATACGGCAGGCCCATTGCCACTTCAGCTTACAAATCCGTTGGGCAATGTCGGTTACTGTAGTTCTACTGCGGATATTCTCCTTTTTAAGTCTAACACGCAGAAAAACCCCGAGCATAGCCCTCTACAGGATGAGGCAAAAGTAATAATCCGATGGTCTTTGGCTGTAATTTTTTTTTACAAATGAATACTTTGGTTCTGTTTGTGGATTATTTATGTTTAATTTATTAGAATTTTTTCCATTAATTCGAGAAGACGATATCGCACAAGTGGCTGCAGCCAGCATTGCTGACCATACGGACCCTTTTTATGACATTTTCCATCACTTTTACCAGAACTTCAGGTGAAAGGTTCGCGCATTCGTGTCGGATATTATCCTTGAGGGCTTTCAGAGTTCCAAGGGCTTCCAAAAAGAAGTCTGCTATGGTCAAATCTGCTGAATCTACAGCTGCATTTCCCGTCTAATAGCCATAAGATAAAAAGTGTAATGTGTAAATATACATTAAATAAATAAATAAAAATGTATGCATGATTGTTATTATAGAAAAAGCCTTACGTTTGTGGTGGGAGCTGTGAAGGCGCGCGCCCGTGGCGCGATAGTGCGCCAGCGAGGCGCGCAGCCCGGCCTCGTCGGCCGCCTGCCACAGCGCCATCTTCACGAACGGGTGCGCTTCCTACGCGTACAACAACAGCTACCATCAAACCGAACATTAGCAGCACTTTTTCATTAGCCGCAACGTTATCGTGTCGGCTAATGAAAATTTGTTCTAAAGTTTCAAATAAAACTATTTTTTTGCCTTGTTGTAGTGGGCGTAAGAAAGTTCACTATCTCATGTCACATGTTTTGACACCGTGGGTGAAGAAAAGAAACTGGAGATGGGCAGCAGCACCATCTTGATAACAATACAAATTAATAAAAAAAACTGTCGTTCCGACAAATTACCGACTAAATTGAAACACTATTTGAAGGATTGATTCTGTAATAAAGAACTGACTATACTTTAAAAAACAACAATATTATGGTATAGAAAAAATCGCTTGTATAGCGCGAATTAAGTGACAATCAGCGCCATCTGTTAGTCGAACTATTGTATTGTTTATCAACCCGCTTATTAAGCAGAAACAACTAGGGGTGCCAGATGGTCGGGATTTCTTGGATTTTTTTTCACTGACAAATCTCTAAATCCCCAGACAAACAGTTTCTCGGAGAGTAGATGTAATGACCTTTGATTTAATAAAAGCTGAGTTAGTAATTACACTGAACTTTGGAGTTAAACGTTTGAATTTTAAATCTTTTATAAATACTACTAAAGGATCTAAATTTGTGGACTCTAGTAAAGTCCAATGTCAAATATACATGGCAAACTAAAAATGAATTGTACTTAAATTAGTTGTGTCAACAATGTTAAGTAACTTTTTATTTTTAATATTTATTTTTCCTGACTACAACTCCAAAATTCCGACATTTTCATATGGGCAATATATGTGGGAGACCGCGAAGTCTGTAATTATCGGCGCTTGACTCTTTATGGTTATAAATAAATGAACGAAATAACTTTCTAAAAGCTGATCTCTAAGAATTTGGTGGTAAGGTAGGACCCACGTCTATAAAAGTAATTATGGGCGGATCAATGATTTAAAAACGTAAACTTAAGTTCGATTTAGCACGACGATACGAGTTGTGGTATTCAACACCTTTTGATGTTAATGTTAAAATATAATTGTTTAAATGTTTAAAAAATATTTATTGTTAAAATGTTTACAATGTTAGGAGTACGCACACGAGACTTTGTTGGCGTCCGTACATGTACTGGCTAAAAATACAAGTTTAATGTTAAATGCCGACGCGTACAAAATGTGTTCGGTGTGAACCGAACAATACGATTCTCTATATCAAAAGTAATGATTGAACTAGGCGGTTTTCTTTATTAAATAATATGTTCTATTTCCACTTTCCTTTTTTCTTTATTAATGAATTCATACAATTATATTTATGTCAGTATCAAGTATTAAAAATTGATGCTTTATAGTAATTTTTTGACAATATGTTGATGTGTTACATTCCAAAGTTTTTGGGGGATATTGACAACAGCTGGGGCTAGCAGGCAGTTAATGGTAAGTGTCTTAAGGCGCCTAAGCAAATATATTACTTGTTTCACTGATTTCAATAATTCACATGCGCAGGCATTTAATATATATAATCGCAACACTTTTACATATCAAAATTCACTTCAAGTTCTCTTTTGTTTTTATTTAGGTTACCACCACCACCACGACTATAGAAACGTAATTACCTTTCACCACTATAGTTAAGGGTTAAAGGAAATAGTATTTCATTCACTTAAAGTAAATTATTTTAATTTTATTTTATTTATTCATTTAGTCGTTCAATGAAGCGCAGGTGCCGTACTGACCTTGAGCACGAGGTGTTGTGTGTTTGTTTGCGGTGGGGGGTCGGTGCCGGAGGTGGTGGGGTCGCGGCGGGGCGTGCGTGGGGTGTGCGGGGCGCGGGGCGCGGGCGGCGGGCGGGCGGGCGCGCGCAGTCGCTGCGCCGGCGCCGGGATCACGATGTTGGGCGACATCGACAGCACCGCATCGTCCGTGCACCACCTACGCACGCACTTCTCGCTCTACCACTTCTTTTTGACGTCAATACGTTTACGATTACTTACAAAGTAAACATAGACGTATATTGAAATTCATAAAATGATGGTAACATAAATAGCAAATTTAAAAATTTTGAAAAAACTCACGACAGATGTAAAAGTTGTAACCGAAAAAGGATGAAATAAAATTTTATTTTAGACATTTTAGGGGATTCCGACGTCACTGTCTAAATATCTGTATATCTCTCTATCTACTCAACAATTTACGAGTCCAAGGAACTCATGAACTATGGATAGAAACCCCCTGCTCCAATAGTGGACCCAAATAACACAGGAGGCCTAGGATAATACATTAACTTGGGTACACGAGTGCTATTAAGAATGAACATTAAGTTCAAGGAAAGATTAGTCAATGGCAAAATAGGAATAGTTCAGAGTGTTCAATGGGAAGAATTAAGAAGAGACCAATTGGAAGATGGAGAGTTGCCCAAAAATCCTAATGCAATTTGATGACCGCTTTATCGGCAGAAGTTACCATGATAAAAATGTTTGAGTAGGCATAACTCCAATTAGTGATCATTTCAAGACAACAAAGGTGCTAGCAAAATAGAAAGGCAATGATTCCACCTATACTTGGTTGGATCGTTACAGTGCATTAATTGCAATGCACTATATCGCCAACGACCATAATAGTAACTGAAACGGAAAAATCCCCTACGACTGACAAATGTTTATTGCAGTGCTCCCTGGCGAGTTAACACAATAACACCCATCTAAGAAACATCGCCGATGAATTACGAACCCGTTATAGAAAATCGTATCTAAATCGGACAAACAATTTTGGAGATAAATGGCAACATTCGTTTGCACAAATATGTTTATTGCAACGCCCCTTGGCTTGTTTACATCGTAACACCTACGTAAGAACTATCGCCAATGAATCACAAATTCTTTTCAGGAAATCATATCTAAATCGGTCAAACAGTTTTAGAGATAAATGGGAACATTCGTGAGCACATACAAACAAACAAAGAGACAACCTCTAATTCTCAACGCATACACCTTCTCCGTTCCGTCATGGGTAGTACATGCAAAATTACATCACTCACAAATATTGTGTGTGATTTTAAGGTATTTCCGTTGCTCTACAATTTCCAATTAGCGTTACGTACAGGTAGAATACGTTAAACACATGGCCGTATCCACGACACAGCCACACCCGTTTTTTCTTTTTGCTTTTATAATGGATCCGTACGGTTGTACTTTTGCCAATGTCAAGTAATAAGGAATTTTCCCTTAAAAATATTTTTTATTTAAAAATTTCCCCACAATATTTTGATTGATCACGTTGTGAAGTTTTTCGGGAATTTTTACAACTACTCAAGCCAGCGGTGGATGACGACAAAATCTCAAGTTATTAATGCGCCTAAGCAGACAAAATAACTGTTCAAGTAGCTCGTTGTAATGTAAGCAATAAAAACAGTTTTTTGTTTGGTCAGATCAGAAACTAAAGACTTAGTGCACCTAGAAAGCAAGTTACAATTAGATTACAAAATAGTTTACCTTTCGTTATGTGAATCCGCTTTCAGTTCAGTCTCTTCTTTTGGCAAAAATACTTCATCGTCCATTGACATTGTCGAACGCAATGGGTCGCTAAAATCTCTAATAGGCACTCCGCAACTCAAATTCTTGTCACTATCTGCCTTTCGGCCGTATGGTCTAACTTTATGCATCGTATCGTCAAATTCACCTTCCATTTGTTCGTTTTCAGCTTTAAAAGTATCTTCTTCTCTATCATTAATATTATCATTTGTTAATGTCCTCGTTTTAGAGCTATTGGATGTAAATAAATCATTATTAGAATCATCCATTTCATCTATGACTTTTTCAATCTTTTCTAATTTTTCTACAGTACTTTTATGCGCATCTATTGACTTGTCTATTTCCTCAGAGGTTATTTTGGTAACGTCACTGAACAAAGTTTCTTTATTAGTCGATTTTTTAGTGTCCCCTTGACTAGTATTTTTTGCAACATTATCTTCAGCTTTAGTTATATTAGCTCCATTCGACTGTATTTCTTTGTTGTCATCATTATTGTCATTTTCCTCATCATTGAATGACATACCGGGTTCAGGTAAAACAGCTTCAATGTCTGCTAAAAATGCTTTTTCAAATTTCCAGTTGTAAAACGCTAACAACATGAATTTAACCACTTTTTTCACTTTGACAAGCTCTGGTAAAGGAGCACCGCGTAGTAGAATGCAGCAAGCAAGATTAGGTTCCGCGCAACCTTCTAGTATCATTAAAGTTTTCCCCGAATCTAAAAAGGAAAAAAAACATTTTTACTAATTTTATTCAGGCAACATTACTAATTATTTTAAGTAAATATACATCACTGGTCAATATTTATGTAAAAACTTTTAATTTCAATTTATGCAATTTAAATAATAAATAAAGATTAAGAAAATTCGCTACAATCTACAAGCAGAAAAATATGTAGATGTGGTAATATATATGTGGTGACTACCTCGTTGGTCTAGTAGTTGCAGTAGCGCAACTGCTGATTATGAAGTCCTGGGTTAGAATTCCGGGTCGGGCATAAAAATTGTATCAGTTATTGAGTTTTGAGTATCAGCCCGGAGTCAGGAAGTTGGCGGTGTCTCACCCACGTGCCTCGGAAAGCACGTAAAACCGTTGGTCCTGTGCCTGATCTCTCTGGTAGTGTCAGTTTACCGTCCCATCAGACTATGAGGGTAAGGCAATAGAGAGTGCACCTGTGATTGCGCATACACTTGGCCACTATAATCCTGTCCTGCGCCGCTGGATAGTTTCTGTTGAGGCTGGCCACCGTGACCGAAATTCTCTCTGGAGAATATCATTATTATGTAGTATTTATGGAAAGTACCATTCCGAACGGAAAGTCAAACCTAATGCGTCAGGCGCCCATGACACTGGCCCTCTACGCACTTAATTTGAAAGCGGGAGAAATATAACGGTTTTGTTGTCGCCTGATTAAGTTTACAAAGCTAGCATTATACATTATTGGTCAGGTATCTAATTTAAAAAGATAATAAGAATAGTTATAAAAATAGCATATAGAATAGTTACACTTACGTATTAGGATAACTTGTAAAGGTAGTTGTAAGTGTTGAAATAAATAAATAAATCTGGTTGGGATGAATAAATATATATAACGAAATGATATATACACATTAACACATACTTAATATTATAAATAAATAAAAGATCAACCAGATGAAAGCCCTTGGCAGGTGAAACCAAACGGCCAAGGATTGGGGGGAAAGAAACCGGCGGACGATGTGGGCGGTATCGAGGGGTATTGTTTTGATGCCCAATTGAGCCTGGAGCGGTCAGTCACAGAGTCGCCCGAAAGGCTGACTGGGATTAGCCCGTTCGTAGAGACGACTACAGGAATAAATTCGCTCGGCAGATCGATCATCTCGTGAGCCAGGTCTAGACATTTTGTTGTGTATTTTGTTTGCTTATCTGTTTCGGCTTTACCAAGGTTCTCATTATACGGAATGGTAATGTCTACCAAAAATGCCCTTGAGTATGCACGATATGAGGCTTATTCGCTAGAATAGTCCCGTCTATGTTGATGGCCCGAACCCAGTAGCTTGGCGCGATCATTCTCGAGCACGGCTTCCGATAAGTACGTACTCGTATAATAAGGCAGTTTCCGATCCAGGAGGCCGTATTTCAGAGCGAGTTATGGTGTAAACCCCTGACTACCAAGTTTTGTCTGTAAGTTTTTAAGTACTTGTACTCAGTGTTAGAAGCGCCGAATAACCAGAAATGACATGCTTATGTGACTCATCGGGATGGCGACAAGCGTGACAAGACTCCACAAGATGTTGACGATGCCATCCTTTAGGATGTATCTCCGATGGTTGTTAGTCTTAATAACCTGCTTCTGTATTACAGAGAAAACCCTCGGGTTTCCCCGAAGTGGTCACCGAAACGAAGCTAGTTGGGGGAGGTGACTGTAATCTATGAAAGTCTTATGTAGAGCTTTGTAAAATCTCCCGTGGTGCTCCATCTCTTTTCATACGGTCTCCTGGTCGAAAATGCTATATACTGCCGAGTCCTGTCATTGCTCGTTGACTTAGGATAGAGGGCAAACCCTTTATCACAAGAAATGACGTCTTTATAGAAGGGATCATCTGATCTCGTCAGGAAGTAGTTACGGAGGCTGCACACTTCGCGATTATGGATGATGAGCGCGCTTAAAAAGCTACGCCCAAAATGCTTTCGCGGCAAGTACAGCCTTATTACCGACTTCCTGCACGCGGTGCGTGTGTGCGTGTGTAGTCACAGGTGCACAGGCGGAAGGCGGCGGCGGTGCCGAGGCGCAGTGGCGCGACGCGCGCGTGCATCTCGGACAGCAGGTGGGCGCGCGTGGCGCGGGGCAAGGGCGGCGCAGCGCGGGCGCGCGCACGTGCGCGGCGAGCGCCACTCCGACGCGGCGCAGCGCGTCCTGCACGCGTCGCGTGTGTGCGTGTGTACTCACAGGTGCGCAGACGGAAGGCGGCGGCGGTGCCGAGGCGCGGCGGCGCGACGCGTGCGTGCAGCTCGGGCAGCAGGTGGGCGCGCGTGGCGCGGGCCAGACGGCGCAGAGCGGGTGCGCGCACGTGCGCGGCGAGGGCCACGCCGGCGCGGCGCAGCGCGTCTTGCACGCCGCGCGCCGCGCCGCCGCGCACCAGCACCACGCGCGCGCTCCACGCCGCGATGCGCGCCGCGCACCGCACCAGATACTCCTGCTCCTGCGCAACACGCACACACCACCCATCATACCGTTACATTCTATTAAACTTCACTGCTAGGAGGATATAGGCTATTTACCATAATTGTCACGCTTAGCGATCGTGTTGGCAACCAGTGGTTTGAAGTGAAAACTTCTTTAACCTTTTGAGCGCCAAAGTCGCCTATACTTGACCAGCACCTGCGAGCTCTGAGCGCCAACGACGTCTATAGTTGACAAAAAACCCGGCCCACAAAAATATGAAATATAGATATTGGAAAAAGATTACTGGTATTTTAATTCTACACTCCTCAAAAAAGAATAACTCAGCAACATGTGAGTATAAAAAACAAGTCTCCTAGAGCCACAATTACTAAGAAATGTTGAACTAAAAAAATGGATTTTTATCTAAGCAAATACTATGTCCAGCACGCCAAAGTCGTCTATGTTTGACCGCTAGTGTTGTAATACGTTAGGCATAGATTTATTGAAAACTATTCACAATTAAACGCAAACGTGTTATTTCTTTAAATTATGATTGATATTTGAATAAAACAAAAGGTAAGAAACATAAAACTATCATCAGCTACATAAATAAAAGAAAATTTCATCAAATCAACTTCGCATAATAAATCTAATATCTCAACTCTGGCGCATCCTTAGCGCGTCATCGATTATCAGTTCATTGGGCGCCGCAAGGATAGACTACACCCTGATGACGTCATAAACGATTAGCGGAAAAAGTAGTGCAGTGCAACATGAACGATTCCTCAGAACTCATTCGCATTTTGGAAAGCGTCGATGATGATAATTTTTTTTATTTTAATAATGTAAAATTACAAATAATAAAATGTTTTTTTTTCCTTAAGGTATGAAGAGCAATTTTACATTTTGTGTTGTGCGATTTTCTTTCTCAATCTAGGGTATTAACTGCAACCTCTGTTATATTTGCTGATGACATTTCCATTCTTATTCTGCATACAAAACGCTAGAATTTAAATAATAAATTGAATCAAGTATTGAACCAGGTTACACATTGGCTGACATCACAACCTAGAGATTAATTTTAATAAAACCAAAATTATGCAATTCCAACCAGTTCAAAAATCACCACTAAATATCGCTTTTACTTATAATACTATACCTATAGGAACTGTTGAAAACTTCAACTTGTTAGGCCTGGAAATCGACTGCCATATAAACTGGAAAGCCCATATAAATAAAGTAAAAAATAGGCTACCAAAATAATCTAATTTAATTTAATTTTGTTTATTCAATTATTATTTTTTACTTAATTTCATTTTTATTTATAATAATTATTATTATTTTTTACTTGACATTGTGATTATTAATTTAATTAAATTTACAGAATTTTAAAATAATATAATCTAATAATGTAATTTATTAATGAAATCTAATATTGTATTTTAAAAATAATATTTAATATTTTTTTAATTGCTACGCCCAAACTGGGTTCAAATGCGGACTATTTTTTTTAAAACATCACATCTATTGTTACCATTTGATTGCAATAAAGATTATGATTATCTCAAAATCATCTGGTAGCATCAGCATCATATCACTTTTCTTCTGTGCTTCACTTTGCCTACGCCTCCCCCGACATATAAAATATTTTGAGTCGATCTCTGTATATTTTGGTTAGATCGATTTCGAAATCGATACACAACGTATGACACGGCTACATCTCTAAGAAAGTTTCAAAAGGGAAGGTCAGCTACGCCGTTGACGTCCAGTCGTGATGATTACTATTATTTTATTGTTATTGTTTGTTTTCATTTATGTACAAAGTACATTATATAAAAGGAGTGGAAGACAACACAATATTAAATAAAACATACCAGATTATAAAGAGTCATTCATTGCATAAAAAACCAACAAAATCAAGTTATTTTGTGTTATCGATATATCAACTCTTGGCAACACTAATTTTTTCGTAGGTATTTTTGTTTAATTTTCGCTTTGGCGTACAGGACACGGTAATGCGTTTTTGGGGTGGCGCTCAAAAGGTTAACCGCGTTGCGCGTTGAGCATTTTTTGGTAGGGTAAAATTTATGGATATGCGTCACCTATGACCGATATGCTGGTGACGTATTGCGCGCAAGCGCAAGTGCAATACGCCACAAGCATGTGTACCACGCATCGATAATCTGGCGCAAGCCAGACCAGCGACTCGTAGTAGTAACATTCAGTTTTCACTTGTGTCAGCAGTCCTCATGACTGCTTTTATTTTATTTTATTTTTAAACGTTATTACGTAGACGCTAATAGAGGTTACGTTTCTCTTATACATTTTTTTGATAAAATAGTTTATCCGAATACGAATACACTATAGTACGTCCAACTAGCAGCGATATAAAAAGGTCATTTACCTTAAATACGACAGTGGAGTTGACAATCTATTATCTATTTTTTCCATCTTGTATATTTGTCGTAATGTCTCGTTTTCCCGGCAAAAACATGTCAGGGTCGCCAACATTCGGGACGCAATTTTAGTAATCGTTATTTATTTAATTATTGTTATTTTGTTTTGTTGGTAATTGTTTTTTATTAAGAGTGGTTAATGATGGAGCTACGACCAAGTACGTCGAGAGATAAATCAACAGATTTTACTTCTCCGAAAAAGAAACGTCCAAAGGTATGTATAGGAATAGGATATACATGACTGTTGTTTAGTAGTTTTAATTAAAACTTCTTGGTTCGGAGTGTACTTTATAGTTATCTTAAAGTTATTTAAGGAACAGCAACTGTAATAATAAAACTTTTCTTAATTTATTAAAGATGCATGTAAGTAAAGAACCTATGTATATCATTTTAATTTAATTTTAATTTTAGGGGATTAGTTTTACTGTGAATGAAAAAAATATGGTTATTAATACCTACAAATATGTTGAAGAATCTTGGCCTAATGATAAATACCCATACAGAAAAGAGATGGCGCAGAAAACGTTTATTTAATTTAAATCTACATTATATACAATAATTCAAATTATAACAAAATTTATAAAAAGTCTAGTCTATTTTTTAAAACTATATTGTCTACTTAAATATATAATCTAACTATTATAAAGTTACGCACCCTGCTATTCATAATAATTTGCATTGGTTTTATTTACATTTAATATCGCTTCTCGTTGGCCGTAGTATACGTAATTAAATTTAACAATCGAAAACTGAAAACATCTATAAAAAAAGTGTCAGGAAAATGTTTGGCAGTGTAACACTTGTAAATGTGTTTTTTCTTGTGGTAATAAGAAATGATCTTGTTCGATAAATGTTTTTTGCTTATAAGTATGTACATAATATTTAAAAGTGTTGATGGGTATTATAATATACAAAATTATTTTGTTTGCATTTTCGTGACAACACCTAGCATACACGCTGGCCGCACGAATACCTACGCGGGCGATGGCATCGCCTAACATCAAAGGCATTTCACAATTGTAAGGTCTAAATTGTGGTTATAGCACATATGGGTTCGGCTCGACCGAAGAACTATGTTATCACAGTATACCAGCGTAAAAGAGCAGCTTAATGCTGTTTTGCCTTGTATGGTGAGTGTAGAGAACCGGAAACCACGATAACCCTTATTCTATTATATTAAAAGTTTGAGAATTATACTTTTCTGTTATGAAACATAATATATTATTATAACTAGCTGTGCCCGTGACTTCGTTCGCGCGGAATTACTACTTTTGCTATTCTAAATGATGATGATTTATTTGTAAATTAAACTGTCATGATGACTTAGAAAGGCACTAATCTGAATAAAAACATTCAGTTAGTCGGTCAATCAGATAAAAAACCGAACAAACAAATAAACGGACCCACAAACGAACCAAGAAACGAATAGGGAAAACTGTACGCTTGGTTTTTATTTTGTAAATAAACAATAAAATGACCGCAATAACGTAATCCCTAATTTGCTCCCGAATTTGTCTAGCCAATACTTTGTTTCTATACAACTAATAAGATATTGCCCTAAAAAGCAAGTCACTAATTATTGATAGGTATTGAATAAAAAATTTGAAATGAAAACTACAATCCAATGTGCCTGCCTAAAACTTAGTAGCTATACTAACAAAATAAATGAAATTGCGTTGGGTTTTCTATCAAGAAGCAGCATTCTCAGTAGCAGCCCGGAGTCAAGAGTTTAGCAGTGTTTCATCCCTATGCCTCAGAAAGCACATTAAGCCATTGGGTGCGTTTGGCAGCAAAAAAGCGCTAGCAAGCGCTTGTAAGCAAAATGGCGATCGTAAGCGGTAAGCGCTGTCAAATCGTAAGTAGCTATTTTCCTCCAGGACACGATGTTAGTTTTAACCGGGGAATCTAACCTAATTTAAATATATGTTTGTAAAGTATTCATATTAAAAACTTACCAATCATGAGTTTTTAATAGCATGTATATGTTTATTCATGTCATTATATTACTTAAAACTAATATTGCACAGAACAACTTATAAAATCTACTTCAAAACAAACAAATTAAATAAGCAAAATGGCGGATTGTGTCAGCGCTACTGAAGTAGCAATCGTGTCCTGGCCGAAAACTATTTTAGCGCTTATAAACGCTTGCTAGCGCTTTTTTCTGCCAAACGCACCGATTTTATCTGTATCTAATCTCACTATATTTTTGTCGGATTACTAACTCGGACACAATGTTAAAAAAAATTTAATATTTTGTATATAACGATCAATAATAGTTTCTTAATTCGTTTCACGGATTTCCCCACCACCATTGCAATCAAAAACTGTTTTTTTCCGCGCAAATCATGTTTCCTGGTTTTAACACTTTAAGGTTAGATATTAGGGAATTAAAAAAATCTAATTGCATTATTTTAATCCTGAAGTATTCGTACTAATTTTAAAGTTACAATAATCATTTAATAATTTTTCTCTATACAAATATGAAATCATCCCGTAAATAAACATTCTCAAAACCTTATTTTATACTATATAAGGATTTTAATTTTTCAAGACTTCTTTCTTAGTGGATGCCTACTTAATAAAAGGAATTTATTGTTCCAATTTCTACATACAGTGGTTTGAGCTGTAGATTTAATATAATATTTTTCATACAAAAATTGAACCCTTGTTTTAAAACCATAAGAGGTAAATTTATTATTTTATTATTTTAAAGCATTAAATATTTTTCTCCCTTCAAATTGAACATTATCTACCCCTTCTCCCTCCCCCGGTAAGAAGTTGTTTTAAGAAATACCAAAATATTTTATTTTCATACAAAATTGCATAAACACTGCCTCTGCGCCCTCCAGCGAATTGAAATCGCAAAATACGTATTTATTTATTTTTTAACATTTTTTTACAGTACTCTCAGTAAGTATCGAGTCAATCGCCCTGTAAAATATTTTTGCAATAAAATAATAAACACCCTTATTTCACCCTCTTAGGTAACGAATTTTCCAAAATGATTTCATAGCGGATTTCTACGTCATAAAAGATAGTTTACCTACTGTCCAAATTTTAGACTTCTACTTCAAGCGGTTTAGGTGGAGCTTGTGCACTGATAGATGAGTTATTCACTCAGTATAGTTTAGTATCTGACTCATATATCAAGAGTATAATATAGTAGATACACTACACATTGAACAATGACATCTGTCGGTAAATTAAAAAATTAACTTTACGGCAAATTAAATTTTATTCTGTTCGTATTAACCATTTCCAATATAAATTAAATTTTATAAATGCTATTTGAGACGAAATATAAAATAAACTCATGATATAAAATGAGAATGATATTCTTTTTTTATATATACATTTCATTAAATGCATATACTCAGCCGTGGACCATATTATATTTACTGTATATTATAATATATAACCCACTTCTTCCCGAAACTATGCTAAATATGAGGCAATCAATGGGAAGACCTATCTCAGCAGCTCAGCAGTGGACTATAAAATGCTGTAACGGTTATTGGATAGAAGGAAGAAACATATTTGCTGGTCCAATACAAAAATTACGTTGAAAGCAGCAAGCAATTATTTACATATTATGTGTTCTTCATATCGTGTATAATTAAACCTTATAGTGCTTGAAAATACTTATAGCGCTATCGATATAAAATTATAGTAGTTAAAAAATAGTACCCGGTTGACCGAGCTTTGCTCGGTATTTTTCGGTCGGTTTTTTTTTAATTCGTGTGTTTTGGAAATTATATTTAGATACAAATTACATACTGATGAAATACGAATAATATTTTTTGATCGTAGCGACATAATAGAAAAAACTGAACTGGTTATTTGAATAAAAAATCATGATTGCAATTAGTTTAATTTAAATTTTCATGTTTTTAAAAAATACTAAAAATAGATTTTCTCACAAAAAGAAAGGAACTTGAAAAAAAAAATTAAAAAAAGTCAGTCGGTCGGTCTGAGCTCGAACCATGGTATTACGATTTTGTGACCGCCCGATATACCAATTAAGCTATTTGTAATCATTAATAAACTGTCAAAATTTACCTTCTTATTCTAACGATATTGTAGCAGTTTTTTATTGCCTAAAAACACGGAAAAAAAGACATTTTCTAAAAATAAATCCTAGACTAGATCGATTTATTGCCCCCGAAACTCCTGCACACAAAATTTTATGAAAATCGTTGGATCAGTTTCCGAGATTCCGATTTTATATATATATATTACAAGAATTGCTCGTTTAAAGGTATAGGATAGGCACACCTACTTAAAATTTAATAAATAATTTGCACAACACATTCTATCGAGGACAATGGTTAACTATTGTACTTTTTTTAACTAAGATAATATTAGGATTTATATATTTTTTATAAATATTTATTATGTTATCTTTTATTATTTTTGTTTACTGCGTTTAGGTACAACTATAACATTATAGAACACTATTTTATATTATTTAATTAGAAAAATGTCCATGATTGATCACTCAACGCCACCATTAAACAAATTTGTACCTTTGAGACCCTTTTTACTGGAAACGAGCCATTCCATCTTAGTCCTCACGAGTGACAACGCATCTGCATTTTGATTCGTAATCGAGGATAGATATGTCTATAGGCCACAGTAACCATTTACCATCAGGTGGACTGTGTGCTCGTTTGTCACCCTATCCTATAGTAAAAAAAACCTATATTTCGTACCCGTACTTCAGAATATTAATCATGACTTTTGATAAGATGAACAGATTTTAATAAAAAAAAAAAACTAAATTTACGAGAATACACTTCACAATTTTCGTAACGATTATTGTGATATAAATCAGTACTTAATACATGGTACGTTAAAAAACAAAGACAGATAGACAATTCTAAAAATGATAGAAATGTATTCAGTTACTTATTTTTAGTCCCCGTTAATCAATGTTGTAACATAAATATAAAATGTACAGACATATGCAATTTGCATTTTTATTATATGTATAGTAAATATTCAAAAAAATTAAAAAAAAATCATTCGAAACATTGGATTCTCTTAGTTGACTCAATTAGGGAGTAAGTGTTCTGTGATGATTAGTCTAGACGAGTCTAGATATTTCTTTTAAATAGCTTGAATATTTATTAATTAAAAAAAAACTTAATTCCTTACCTGCATCAATAGAGGTTCTAGAGATGTCAACTTGCCTTCCACTCGCTGGTAGGCGATGGAGCAATCTAACAACAGCACCGTTGGATTAGCTATCTCCTGAGGCATTCCTCTGAAATAAAGCAATTTCTAATTGCAACGCAATGTAGTAATTGTGCAATGTAATGGAGGATTCCGCCTCCATTACTTGAATTAGTCCATAACCCTAGTCTTCTTCATCAGCCCGTAAAGTTCAACTCATCATCATAATTACAGCCTATCAAAGTTCACTGCTGAAATTATTATTATTTGTGATAGTTGCCACGTTTGGCAGGCGGGTTGGCAATAGCAATTTTTTGTCTTTAAAATTTTATTAAGAAAATGCTGATGTCCATATCCCGCTTCATTTCTCTCTGTTTTCGCTGTATTCGCTTTCTACGATATCTGCGGAACAATATAAATCTATTACGTCATTACAATACGGCGAAATATTTAACAGAATCTAAAACTAATCACACTTGCAAATGTTAGACCTATAGAACTGTAGCCGCCTAAACTGCAGCATGACTATTTTGGCAAACTCTTGAAGTTTACACGCAGCGAAATGTATAAAGCTAAATAGTATCTGCAAATATCTCCGACTTTGTCAACATTCAATCCCTAGCATTTTTATCTACAACGTATTAGTACCTGTGTGCCACGTTCTTGGTTAGTACGACGCCATGTATCACGCAGCTGTCCTGCACGCTACCACCGGGCACTTTCTTCACCTGCACGTAGTTCCGCACGTCTATGTCGTTGCCGTAAATATCTATAAATTAGGAAGTTCATTCGTTTTTATTTAGGAGTTAGTTAGTACAGACTGATTTTGAACACTAGGAGTCAGTCCAGGTAAATACCACTCTTTTACTTACTTCCGACGCTAATATTCTATACACTCCGTATAGATTGTTGCTTTAAGGGGCACTATATTCCTTAAAATAAGGTTGAGACTTGCTTAAGTGAGGTATATTAGGATTTAAAAAAAAAACTAAACACGTATGTTTTGTTCAACGATCTATAAGCCACCAAATGAAAGTTATGAATATGAAGAAATAAGACTGTTATGTACAAATAAAAAGCATTTTATATACATATAAGAAATACATCACCTAGCAGAACAACCTATATTTACAATTTTTAGTTTGAAATTGGTCACAGTTGTCTATTGGCTGTCTTGAAATTGGTTAGAAAATGATCTTTAAAAAAGTTTGTTTGTGAAAAACAAGTCCTACCAAAAGGTCTAGGTTTCAAGATTCTCGCAGATTATATATATATATATATATATATATATATATATATATATATATATTAAGAGAGCGATAGTAAATTTATCGAATAATTGATATTTTGGTAATTTTCGAGTATTTTCGAGTATAAATATAAAGTTTAAAAATGCGCGTATGAAGGCTTCACATTCTTATCTGTACTCTGTACGCTACTTTCTAGTCGTTCAAGCCAATGAGAAGAAATGGTAGAATACAATTTCTTCTTCGCTTTCCACCACAGATACAGAGTTTATCCTGACTCCGTTCACAGCATCGGTTACATAGCTAATTAGATAGTCGTCTAATTAGCTATATTGCTAAGATAGGTAGACATAAATCATCAAAGCACATTCGGAACCAAAAATGAAAATTGACAATATGGTTTCTAGGTTAAAACGAAGATGGAATCAGCAACTCAGAAACGAGATAAACTGACCACTCTTGCTCCCCACCTGTCCTGTGTCAAACTTACATCATTTCTTTTTTATTCACATTCATTGATCAGCTTCCAAATTATTGCTCATTTTGAATAGTCGTATGTTTTCAGATATGTAATTTGCCAGACTGTTTTATAAAATCCTCTTAATGCATTTGACGTGTAAGGTCTTTTTTCTCGGTATGACTTACCTTATTTCGTGAGGCAAGCGTTAAGTAAAGTGAAACGAACAAGAGGAAGTTGCCGAAGAAGACGGACAAGGGAGAACGGAAATAAGTACTAGTACTAATTGTTAATATAGTTGCGGGAATCGGTTGCGGTTGTACAATTGTGCGAAAATGTTCCCCAAGTTTGGCTTTCTTTTAAAAGGTTCAACAATATATGGGAAATCAGTTTTTACGTCTAAACCATAGGGCATAACAATTGCAAATACCCAAACTTATGTGTACAAGTAAGACAAAATCTTATGTGTTTATAAATAAAGCTTTTTCTCCTTTGAACATAATGTGAATATGGAAAGGTTCTAGAATTAAATTATTAAAAGATATTCCCCGCTTTTTTGAATAAACCAGATTTACTTAGAATGTTCTACCCCTCTCTCAATGAGCATAAACCGGAAGAAAACCTATAAGTAAAAAGTAGAAAAAAAGTAGGTTTTTTTCCCTTTAATTAAAAGAGTAGTTTTACAAATTCATCACCTTTCATATTAAATTCTCATTAAAATACGGCACAGTAACAAACCTGGCAGGATGATGTCTGCGGCCTGCTGACACAGCGGGTAGAGTATATCGAGCCAGGCGGGCGCAAGTCCAGCCCGCGCTAAGCATTGCCGAAACAAAAGCCGTAGATGTTCAATTCCCGACTCCTCTACCGCCTTGCACAGCGGGGGAGAATCCGAGCCTACAACCATAATTGTGATGGTCAATTTCGAACAAAAATACACGTACAATGGTTTAAGATATCATTTCGCAAAAGAATTATAATTCACTTAAGTACATAACAAATGTATACAATGTTAGTCAAACGGCACGCCACATAAACAAAGTGATAGCAAAATAAAATATATTTTTCGCCTAAACGAAGTAATCGTAATAGTAAAACATTTATAAGTATATATTGATATAATAAAAATATAACATAGATTAAAATTATACATACACGAGGGTTACTTTACTATAATCGGTTCTACTGCCGAGTGCAAAAATATTTATGTACCGACTATAGGCTTAGCTTCATTGGAATTCACGTTGAACTAACGAGACTGGAAGTGATATATATGCATCCATATATTGAGCGCAATTATTATTTACTTAATAACATACTGATCATTTTTATTTCTGTAAGTTTTAATAACTGTACTTATAGTATAATATTAAAGTGGCAAACAAGCTAAAGGTGCCCCTCGTGACTTCAGAACAAAGAAAGCTAAAATGAGTTTTTACCTTTGAGGAGTATGATAGGTACCCGTACCCTAGCCTTCTACTAGGTGTCAGGACTCTTTCAGCCTAAGAGTCTGTTTGGGTAGGTGCCACTCTCTTACGTATGTTTGCCGCCAAATACAAGTGTGTGTACTGCTGCGTTCCAATCTGAAGGGTAGCCAATATAATTACAGGCTGTGAGGCATTCCATCTTAGTCCTCACAGGTGACAATGCATCTATAGCCTTCTTTGCTTGAAGTTGGTTGCAGACTGCAGTAGCCACTTACCATCAGGTGGACTGTAAAATCGTACGTCACATCGGAAAAACCTGTAATCATACTAAAACTCTATACCCTTCAAACTGGAACTCCATGCCTTCCAAACTGGAACACAACATCGGATTCAATGTGGCTTAGGTCAGCCATACAAGATCCTAACGATTTCTTAAATTTACGCGAACACTACACATTGAATAAAACTATTATTTACGGATTTAATCACGTTTAATTACTACTTTAATTTATTTAAAGCACCCGAAACGTCGGAATAATAATAAAAAATTAAAGTAGTAATTAAACGCGATAAAATCCGTAAATAATAGTTTTATACACACAAGATCCTGTTTACCGTCAAGTTTAATAATAATAATAATAATACTTTATTTTCAAACCTTGCATAACTATCACATTTATAAATAACTATTCTATGATCTATACCTAGTTACATATTAACAGACTAACATAAGATAACTTAAATAGAAGGCGTCAAGTTGCAGCGCATCCATGTAGGCCATGCACGTTCAAGTTCGCAAGATCCCGCACCAGTTGAAACCATGGCGTTCACCAGTGACGGACTACGACGCGTTAGCCATCCTAGGCTTATTGCTCTGACCAACGTCATTCATACTTGACCGCATATACACATGTTCAAGTTTACATGACGCTGCAATCTGGATGAAGTCGGCAGAATCGAAATTCAGTTTTTGCTTCAAGTACTCCACTTCAAGCGCGCTGCAATCTTGACGGTAAACTGGGTCTTGTATGAGATCCATTAGCGGAGAAATATATAAAAGTATAATACCTATCTACGCAAATGTGTTAAGAAGAATAAAAATTCCCACCAAATAGAGTTATATACTATTAATAAATTGCAATTATTTAGTGCATAGTAGAATTCCGCTAAGGACTCTTGTAGTGTGGACTTGTTAATAAGTTGAAGTAAATAAAGCAGGATAATTAAAAACAATCCATCCTTGTCCTTCTATGTTTGAAATCCATAAAAGACTGGAATGCCAGTTAATTGTAATCGTCGTTTAACTTGCGAATGAACAGCGAGGCCACTTGAAACTCTAATGTTATAAAGAAACGCGCTGGTAAAAACAACTTACTTTGTAATAATACAGCAAGCAAGTTTTTACAAAAACACAAAGACATGTGTATGCGATTAAACAATACTACAATAACACAGTGTCCGGCTCGAGGGACCAATCACATTTTTGTTATTTACGCAAATTAAGTTTTCGGCTGGAATTAAATTATGCCTATGTAAGTGACGCATTCTACTTAAATCAATAAAGTATTGCTGTTAAAAATGAACACATAATTATTTAGTACGAAATTGTAATATCTTGCTTTAAAGGAATATGTGAAACACACCGAAACCGTAAAAACGCCTATGTGATTTACTAACTTGATCAATACAGGGTAGCTGTCAAAAACGTTATTATTATCTACGAACATAATATGTTACAGAAATAGAAAGCTTTAAGGACTTATTTTTCAACGTACACGTGCTAAAAAGCAAAACTATTAATAATAATGCTTTGTGGCATTACTTGGGGGGGGGAGGCCTATCTTCAGCAGTGGACTTGTGAAGGGCTGTAATGATGATGATGATGATGATTAATAATAATAATGGATGATATCATAATACGCTATTACACTTGAAGGAATTATTAGTGATCTTAACACCAATCTTAAACCTTGGACAGTGGTCGTCGGTCTCAACAGATAGCGATATACCTTATATCATCATCATTACTGACTATCAAAACTTCACACAGCTGACTGAACATAAGCCACCCACATAGATCACCTTATAGAGAGTATATTTGCCATAGTAGCCACGTTTGGCAGGCAACTTGTTATTTTTCATTATTTAGGGCTGTTTATTAATAAGATGGTGCCGCTATTCTAGCACAGTTTCCCTCCGTCTGTCTCACGAAATCCAGACCCGCAATAGTGCCAGACCAGTGCAAAAGTACAAATCATCTAATTCTACAAACACAATTCCGCTTATCAAACATAATAAACACGGTAAGCGCTTTCCTACAGTCTGTGAGACAGCAATGGCCTTTACGAGCTCAAAAACAAGGAGTGTAACGTAGAAATAGGTTATTGATTAATTTACGCTGCCCTAACACTTACTGCATATATAAATTTTATTTTCAATCTATAAAAAGAGACAACCAATATCCATATCGGGACTGCTCCACGACGGCTTCGAGCCTCGTACGAAACATGTATTTTTATGACTTGTAAATATTTGTCCTGGGTGTGGATGTTTACACTAGTAGAATTTATGTAGAACATCCTAGTGTTTGGGTAACAAAAAAATATTAGTACTTACTTTCACTTTGATCCAAAATTGGTTGATCGTCCTCGCTGGATGGCGACGATTTGTTCTCTGAAATACAAGCGAAGTGAAGTTAAACAACACTTAAAAAGTAATCGTTAAAGTCAACTATTTTTATTATTTTACCGGTTTTAGTAGCTTTTATAAGCCTCGCGGAGCTGTCGCCTAGGTTTAAATCCAAACAGTAGGAAGAACCACTTTGAACAAGCCGGTTGCACTCTTCATCTGAAAATATGCAAAACACAAGTTGAAAACATGTTATTTATTTACGTGGTAGAGCCACGCTGTTTGGTTGTAGCATGAATGGGTCGGTTCGACCGGGTAAGGACCACGCTCTCACAGAATACCAGCGTAAAATAGCAGCTTAATGCTAATGTGTTTCGTATGATAATTGTAGAGAATTGGAGATTCTCTTTGCTGGAAACGAGGTGTCCTATCTTGGCCCTGAGGGGTGGCAACGCATCTGTATTATGATTTTTAATTGAGGACAGATGTCCATGGGTCAAATCATCCACTCACCATCAGGTGGACTATATTGTTTTTATAGTATTAGGTGATAAACGAGCACACAATCCACCTGATGGTAAGTGGATGCTGTGGACCATAGACATTCACATTTATCCGTAATAAAGGATCAAAATGCAAATGCGTTGTTACCCCTGAAGACTAAGACGAAAATTTCTCGATTTCAGTAAAAAGAGTCTCCGGTTCTCTACACTCTTCATACGAAACACCTGCTATTTTACGTTGGTATTCTGAGAGAGCGTGGTCCTGCCCCGGTCGAGCCGACCCATTCGTGCTAAGACTATAATATAGCTGCAGCGTGGCTTTACCACATGTAAACATGGCTGTGCCACGTTTATGATAGTCAACCTTACTTCTACAAAAAGTAGAGGCCTATGTATAGTAAAGTATAAGTAAAAGTGTTTAATGGGCTGGACAACTACATCCAACTTCAAACATAGAATGCTACAGAAGTGTTATCTCCGAGGACTAAGAGGGCATGCATCACAGCCTGTAATTATAATGACTCCATATACCCTTCAAACAGGATCACGGCAGCGCCGGCACGGTTATTTGGCGACAGAGTAGGTAAGAGGGTGGTACCTATATCGTGATACAGCCCTTTAATAGCTAGTTGCAGGGTGACTACCATGTAGAATACTATACCAACTATAGAATATAATGACCTATGACTTTTATTAAACTTTTATCTTCACACCTCAACTTATGAAATATTTGCCAGTTAATTAAATCAATGAAAATTATTAAACCAGTGCAATTTTTGCCATTTATGCCTATTAAAGTTCACTGCTGAATATAGGGCTACCCAATAGATTGCCTCATAGAGAGGGCTACTGATCGTCTCCTATCCCCAATAGATTGCCTCATAGAGAGGGCTACTGCCCATCTCTTATTTCAGTTTCCCTCAGTTTCCCTCAGTTGCCTCTTTCGACATCCACAACACGATATGGAGCAATGGATATTCTTACACCGCCACTACCTACCCAGATGGACAGGTAGAAAAAAGTCATATCAGCTATTGTAACCACCAAGTTTTAGCACGTCTTCCACCTGTGCTGAAGCTACGTTGATTTTTCTTTCTTATTCTTAACTAGCTGTTACCCGCGGCTTCGCCCGAATGGTCACTTTGCTTTTTGAATTGAAAGAAAACTGAGTCTTATAGATTTGTCAGAGATGCAGTCATTAAAAGGAAACTGAGCAAAATTGATTCGTCAGCCTATTTAAATGTTTTGAAACGCAGCGTATAGGAAAGCATGAAAATAGCCTGTTTATTCCAAATGGAAATGGGATATTTTTTAATTAAAGGAAACTGAGCATAATTATCCGTCAGGAATGCAGACTTTTGAAAAGAAACTGAGCTAAATTGATTCGTCAGAGATGCAGTTTTCTGAATTGAAAGGAAACTGAGCCAAATAAATATCCGTCAGAGATGCAGCCTTTTGAGTTGAAAGGAAACTGAGCTTAATAGGTCCGTCAGAGATGCAGCATTTGGAATTGAAAAGAAACTGAGCTAAATAGGAAATTTTGAATTGAAAGGGAAGATCTGTGGGAATTCCGATTAATTGATTGTGGGAATTTTGGAAAAAAAACTAACTGAACACTATTTTAAGACGCTACTGTACACAATGTTATATGTTTTTCCATTCGGGGAAAGAATGTAGAGATTCTGGGCATTTGACACACGCGAACATGCTACATACAGCTGACCATGAGAGAAGCACGGTTTTTCTAAGTTGACCCCCGCTACCTGTAACGTTTGCCCTTGCGATTTATTAATTGTCATTGCAAAACTGAGCTTAATAGGGAACTGCAACCTTTTAAATTGAAAAGGAAGATCTGCGGGAATTATAGGGATCCGTGGTATAATAACATTTTCACCTTTTCCTACGCCTGTCAAAATTGTAGCACCGATTACCGGTCACCCGTTACATAATCGAGGAGCATCTAAATTTCGCATTAGCATGACTGGGACGCCTAATTTTAATTGAAGCTTATGTGAGGGCACACCTGACAACTCTAGAGAATTTAGAAACTCTGCGAGATATGAAGTGCTCTGTTCTGTGTCCATAACTGTGTCTACTGACAAATACTCTGTTATTTCTCCTGCTACTTCGCTTAATATATCTGAATTTATTTTGTTAACGCTCTCATTTTTTGGTGCAATAATCGCCCTTTCACATAACCATTTGTCTTCATGCATGTTGTTCGTTAAATCTGAATAAACGCTCGCAATTAATTCGGAATGACTCTGTACTAAATTACAAAAATCTCTCAATTTAACGCAGCCCTCAGCATCCGTTTCCAACCACCCATCGCCAATTTTTAATAGTGTGTCAGCATAGTTTCCAGCATTGATATCATTATACAAATGCAGAGTGCATATCAAATGCAATCTCATAGTCATAGTTAAACTGAATTTTGTCACCTTGTTCCATAAAATAGACGACCTGAGGCATGCTTTAATTTCATCTGCAGGTGTGCCCTTTTGAATGACAGGTAAGTTTGGCGAAAGTCACCAGCCAGTAAAACCACCATTCCTCCCATTACATCGGTATTGCTGCGCAAATCCTGGATCGTTAGATTTAGTGCTTCTACAGCTTTTTTATGCGACATCGTACTTTCGTCCCACACTAAAAGTTTGCATTGTCGTAGCATTATACCTCGTGCACTACTTTTGCTAAAGTTGCAGATCGGCGATTCTTCCTGGGCTAGATTTAGAGCGAGTTTTAAAACAGAATGTGCAGTGCGGCCCCCGCTTAGCAGCGTGGCGGCTATACCGGGGGAAGCTACGGCCACAGCAATGTTTTTATCTTTCCGTACTTGCGCTAATAATAAATTTAACAAAAATTTCTTCCCAGTTCCTCCAGGGGCATTTAAAAAGAAAAGTGCACCATTTCCAGATTCAATTTGTGCTAATACTTTGTCAAAAACTCGTTTCTGTTCGGGAAGCAAGCGGGGTACAAATTCGGCTACTTGCTGCTGCAAAACCGGTATATCGTAGTTTGTTTCACGTATAATTTCATCACTTAGTTCATTTTTGGTTGTTCGCTGAGGGCTTATCATTCCAAAGTCGCTTAATTTTTTGCCTACCATTGCCATTACTTTATCTTCAATTTTTCCAAGTGCTTCTTTATAAATGTGTTCATTGTATGTCATGTTCGCGTGTGTCCGCTGTAACCTTCGCAAAATATCTTCCGCCATGTACTATTTATATTTGTCCCACAATTCATGTGCATTAGATAGCCCGCAAGATGACATGAGAGTTGCATAAAGATCCCTAATTTTGGCTGGTGACTGGCACTGCACAGCTTCCTCCATGGTTTCATCCCAGTGATTATCGTTTTCTAAACGATGCAGAGCTTCACATGCTTCTCTATAAGTTGTTTTAAGGTCTTTATATACTGTAGGACCCCGAACATAGTGCAGCAGCAATCGTAAACAGAAGCATTCAAAATTAGTTACATTGACGGTATACACACGACCAAGGGCATCTGATGACTTTACACCGGGCCAATTTGCAACAGGCGCGCCTTGAATACGGCGTTTCCACTCCTTCCTAGATGTGTTCCAAGTATAATAGCGGGGGACTTCAGAATATAACAACGTTTTTGCAAAGGGGTCGGTTTGACAAAGTTGAAAGAAGGCTGTTAGTGTAGTTTTTGGCGATGATGCAATTCTTTCTTGGAAATTTCTTTCGGTGAAATATACACGCTCTCCATTTTCTAAGTGCACAGCAAGGTGAGTAACTGTTGGGTGCCTTTCGTGTAAAGGGAAGCCAAGGAGACGCCACGCTGCCTCGTGACTGCTGACATAACGCCCTGCTTGAAAGGTTTGTACTTCTTTAACGGGGTTTGCCTCACCTTCACTCCTGAGATTAAATATTGCTTGGTCGCTTCCTTTATTTATGTACTTACAGATATACTTGATTGCGTGGACAGAGCTCCATGCTTCTACATTAATGTGGGCATTAAACATTTTACATAGAATGGGCGAATACGGGACAATCCAGCTGTTATCTAAGGTTTCGAACGCTCCAGAGCGAGATTTGATTGTAACTTTCCTGCCACCATCTTCGGGAGCTCTGCGTCTGTATAAAGGTATTATCATTGTGCACTGTTTCTTTTAATAGCTGTTTAGGGAATTTCTTTGTACATTTTCCTTCTTTCATATATGGCGATATTGAATTTCGTGCTCCACATGGACCGTGAATCATATTTCGGACGATGGAATTCTTTATCTTGCTCAGGATCCGGAATCTCGGCGCTTATTATGTCGTCTATTTGGCTGGGCCGCAACTTCTCTTTAAGCCATATTAGAATGTGGGCATGCGGTAATCCTCTTTTTGCTATTCAATTGAATACATGAAGCACTGCCTCTCTCCGAAAATTTTCCCTTTCTTAATTACATACATTAATTTTCGTAATTTTAATCTAAATACTCTAGCAACTAAATCGTGTCTGTCAGTACTTTTTTGGCCCGGTATTAGCTCCTCGGTTATTTCTTTCCATGTGGGATTGCAAGTAAAAGTAACAAAAAGATCAGGTCTTCCGTAAGTTCGTACATAGGCGAATGCGTCATGTGTGTACTCATGTAAGTAGTGGGGACTGTTAACGAATGATGAGGGCAGAATTACAATTTTACCTAAATCTCTGGGGTTTACATTGGCGTCGCTGGAAACTGCATGTTGTAAATGTATATAATTCTCAACGCGCAGCTTTTTAATTTAAAGATATATAACGGAGACGTTCACTTTCTACCTTCACATACATGTCTACCAAAAATTGATGAAATAATTGTCTACACCGGGCTAAGAGGTTAAAATCATTTTCTCGCAACATCATATGATACGCATAAAAATCCATACATGATACTTTTTTGTTCGGAGTAGGCCCCTTTGTGACCGGGTTAATGAGTGGAATTTGAAAATGATAACCGTCTTGTCCTTTGCAATAAATCAATGGGTATTGCAGAGCGTCATAAAACTTGTGTGTATCGGCTACCCGTTGCAACGTATCATCACGTGCTCGCAAGACAATGTCTCGTGAAGAAAATTGATCACCACTAATTACGGCTAATTATTTCGTTTATCAAAGGTGCATTGTAGCGCCTTCCATGCTCTCCTCGAGGGGTCCGATCTGCGTGAATGACGACTTTATAATCCTCTTCAGGTAGGTTTTCTAAAGCAGTTTTAAATGTTTTGACTAAAATGTTACGTTCATGCAAGATTCTTTGAATTTTGAACACTGTGTCTCTATCAACTCCCTGGATAAATTGGCAGCGACGGTCTACCTCAATTTCTTCGTCACCCATAAAATATATCTACTTGTAAAAATTTATGCTGTTCGTTTTCAGCTGGAAAAAGTGAACCTATTCTATGATAAATTTGCCCTTGCACCGTAAATGTAGGCGAAAATCCCGGCATTATTATTTCCCGGTCAACTCCGAAGAACGTCATTTGAAAGCATGAGTTATATTTCCGGATCCTGTTTAAAAAGCGCCGTGACTCATTAGCATCATATAAAAAGAGACTTTTCATAGGTTCTTCTGGTTCCCCAAGTAACGGAAGAGACACTTTGCAATTGGAATAGCACATACCTGCGGTCTCATATTTACATTTTAAAGCGCTGCAAAATCGACACGCCTTGTCTATCAGTCCGATAACAACTAATCTGTGATTTTTATAATCAATCAACGGATCATAATTGAATGCTGCGTCATTAAAAACCGACCAATTGTTTCTTTGAAAATTTTGTCGACGTTCAGCTTGGAGCTGTGCATTTGCATCTCTTCGCGCCTGTGTCTGTTCTGGTGTTTCAGATGCCCTTATAGTAGATTGACGTTCAGCTTGCTCAATGAATCTGTGTTGAGTTTCATCAGGAGTTTCCGCGGCTCTTAAGGCGGCCTGACGTTCCGCTTGTTCGGTTAGCCTTTGCTGACTTTGAGCAGGTGTTTCAGTAGCTCTTAAAGTAGCTTGACGCTCTGCCTGTTCAAGACGCCTTTGCTGACTTTGAGAAGGTGATTCAGAAGCTCTAAAAGTAGCTTGACGCTCTGCCTGTTCAAGACGCCGTCGCTGACTTTGAGAAGGTGTTTCAGAAGCTCTTAAAGTAGCCTGACGCTCTGCTTGTTCTTGCCTTCTCAGTTCAGCATCTTCTAAAGATTCTAGCGATCGAGCTAATCTTTTCGCTTGTCTTTGAGAAGATACTATTGAAAGGCTGGACTTACGTTTGCGAGGCATTAACAAAAAAACCTATTTATAAAAAAAACGTTAAAAGACCCAAAAGGAATTAAATTTCCTTTTAATTTTAAGTTTATATTATTTATTACTAACAAATTATGGAGCTTGTATCGGAAATAAAATAATTATTATTATTAAATTTTTTTTAAAATAATCCAAAATATCTAAAAGGAATAAATATTCCTTTTAAATATTTTTTAAAATCAAAACAACAAAACCAATTCAAGACACAACACGAATCCGAAAACGACAGCCAAAAAAAAATCGAATCAACTTAAACCAAATCACAAAACAAATCGCAGAAAACCGAAATCGAAAGCAGTAGTCAATATAAATAAAACCAACGAAAAAAGAAGTAAGTGTATAGGTACCGTATACACTATCTATACTATTAATATTCCTTTGAAATATTGTTAAACAACCTAAAACAACTAAAACCAATTCACGATTCTAAATAAACAAAATCAAAAATCAAAGCCAGAGTCTAAATATGTATAAAGGAATACCAACCAAATCAACAAAATCGATCCAAGAAAATACACAAATCCGAAAATGAAAGCCAATATAAATTCATTCAACCTTAACCAAATCACAAAGCAAATAACAAACAACCGAAATCGAAAGCAGGTAGTCGAATAAGCTACGAAATAGAAATAATTTAAGCGTATAGGTACCGTATGCACTATAAGTTGACGCGCGGCTCAACGGCGGGAGTTAAGTACATGTCAGGAAACATTTCGTTACCGCGTTTTATAAACCTAGTAACGACATCTAGCGGAATCAATTTAAACTATGTATACGTTAGTTAATAAGAACTCTCAAAAATATTTTTCTTGTAATTTTGCACAATTTTTCTTATTGTAATACCGATTCATTTATAACCATATATAAGAACTGTATTCATTTCCGTTCAATAAATATTACTAAGGCTTATTAATAAGGCTTACTAAGAACTGTTTCTACCACAGTTAAGTAACAGTTAAGGGTGAAAGCGTGACAGGTGGTGATAGTATTTCTGATCCATACTTATAATCACGCCTGTAACCCTTGCGAGGTAGACAGAGCATCAACGGATTACTTAATATCGTCTGCGAGGTTATCGCCTATTCTGTGAATTACAATGCACCAAAACGTTTGAAGAAAATCAGCTGGTGAATTTTATGTTTTTTATCGCTCTCTTCTCGGTAATGCGTGGAAAAATACAGATCCATACATTTTTTATCTTAATTTTGGTAAAAAGACATAATAATCCAGATATTCTGACCTTCTGTGTTCGTCCATCGTACCGTCGTCCGTCTTGTAGAATCACGGTGGTGCCACCTAGCTGAATTTAATTTTGCAACATATTCCCGATTTTCCCACGGGAATGATATGTTTTTTCACTGAAAAAAGTAGCCATGTCACTACAGCCACCGAACTATCCCCATACAAAAATCATGCTATGCCGACGTTCTGTTGCGACGTGAAAGAAGGACAAACTTGTGCAACATATTCGATTTTCCCACGGGAATGAGATGTTTTTCCGAGGAAAAAAAGTAGCCTATGTCACTCTACAGCCACCGAACTATCCCCATACAAAAATGCCGACGTTCTATTGCGGCGTGAAAGAAGAACAAACTTGTGCAACATATTCGATTTTCCCACGGGAATGAGATGTTTTTCCGCGGAAAAAAACTAGCCTATGTCACTCTACAGCCACCGAACTATCCCCATACAAAAATGCCGACGTTCTGTTGCGACGTGAAAGAAGGACAAACTTGTGCAACATATTCGATTTTCCCACGGGAATGAGATGTTTTTCCGCGGAAAAATAGTAACCTTTGTCACTCTACAGCCACCGAACTATCCCCATACAAAAATGCCGACGTTCTGTTGCGACGTGAAAGAAGGACAAACTTGTGCAACATATTCGATTTTCCCACGGGAATGAGATGTTTTTCCGAGGAAAAAAGTAACCTTTGTCACTCTACAGCCACCGAACTATCCCCATACAAAAATGCCGACGTTCTGTTGCGACGTGAAAGAAGGACAAACTTGTGCAACATATTCGATTTTCCCACGGGAATGAGATGTTTTTCCGCGGAAAAAAGTAACCTATGTCACTCTACAGCCACCGAACTATCCCCATACAAAAATGCCGACGTTCTGTTGCGATGTGAAAGAAGGACAAACTTGTGCAACATATTCGATTTTCCCACGGGAATGAAATGTTTTTCCGCGGAAAAAAAGTAGCCTATGTCACTCTACAGCCACCGAACTATCCCCATACAAAAATGCCGACATTCTGTTGCGACGTGAAAGAAGGACAAACTTGTGCAACATATTCGATTTTCCCACGGAAATGAGATGTTTTTCCGCGGAAAAAAAGTAACCTATGTCACTCTACAGCCACCGAACTATCCCCATACAAAAAATCATACCATGCCGACGCTCTGTTGCGACGTGAAAGAAGGACAAACAAACACACTTTCGCATTTATAATATTAGTATGGGTTCTTGTATTTCTCTTGTAGTATATTTGAAAATGTAATACGTGCTATCAGTTACGGTGAGGGCCTGGTGATCTATAACACAGGGATTACCCTAGTATGGACACCAGTCTCTCACAAAGGTCAAAATTATCTACAACCGTATTATTTAAAAAATAATGTGAAATTATATACCTTTGTGAAGAGAAAAATAAAATGATTTATTATTATTGTTTTTATTTTTATTATTTTTTCACAGCTATGAGCTGGTAAATAAATGGCGATTACGGGTTGAAACCAAGTAACCGTCATTTTAATAGGGGATAAGCTACATTACTGTCATCCTGCATGAATTTTCGAAAGATGCAACATGTATTTAAAACCATGCATGCCGACGCTCTGTTGCGACGCGACGTGAAAGAAGTACAAACAAACAAACAAACACACTTTCGCATTTATAATATTAGTATGGAAGTATGGATGGTGTCGTAAGTTCAACTTACCGACTCTATCACCAGTGTCGGGTTCCCGCACATCCTGAATAACTGGTCGATATAATGCGTAATCTGCGAACTGCGGTGGTTCAGGTACGCTCTCCATATGTCCACCCGCGAGCAACGCCTGGCATACTACGCTCGCTTGCGCCCTGTATACAATGCCGTGTTATAACCACATTAAATAAAACACAAAATTAGAAAAAAGATTAATGAATGATGCTTATATACAATATGATCATGAAGCAGTTTGTTAGGGTTGAATCTGAATGACAGGGCGAGAGAATAGTGTGGTTTGCAAATTGATATTGTGACCAGAATTAAGAAAAAATGCCTCTGACATAATTTTAAAACATAAAGCGTAACGTAATTTTGTGGAATAACAAAAAAACTGGTCTAAGATGAGGACCTTGGGGTACACCTCACAAACTGTTTTGTGAGGTATTTTGTATTTACCACGTGCTCGGCGGTGAAGGAAAACATCGTAAGGAAACCTGCATGTCTGAGGAATAAGAAAAAAAATATTTCGAAAACATGTGAAGTTCGCCAACACGCATTGGGGCAGCGCGGCGGACACTTCCTTGCCCTAAAACCCTCTCAGAAATGAGGGGAGGCCCTGTGCCCAGCAGTGGGACGTATATAGGGTGTAACTTTGACTTTAACTTTATATGTTTTGTAATCTTACTGTCGTGAAGACTAGAAACTAATAAAATAAGAAGCTAAAATACCAAAATTGAAATCATTGATTCATGAAAATAAAGTGATATTATAATCAAAAGCACAAGTAAAATCGGTTACATTTAAAATTTCAATTCATTCAGTATTTAGGAAATGTACAAATTTTACACGACGGGACAGTATAAAGGCTTCAAGAGCTATTTTAGCATAACAACAAATATAGTTTTTAGTTAGTTAAGTGCACGTTTGATGCCAGACGTTATTAAAAATGCGAAGGAAGATTTTGAGAGAAACAACGTAGCTACTATACACAGTAATTACAATGATTCTTAAATTATTTAACAGTTTTTTGAATTTTATTGTATAGATATTTAAATAAAAATCTGTCAGAAAGTTAAGTCATAGACACCTCGTTTTGTTATTTGTGTTGTCCATTATCCACTGCATAATGTCACAGCCGCGCCAAACGCCATTGTACCTCACAAGCCGAAACCTACAATAGTACCAATATGAAATCATTAATTAATAAAATATCAATATATAACTGCAATTCTAAACTACAGATTCGCCTTTCGCGTCCAAGCATTGAAGAATCATAACAAATAGATACTAATTATAGTATTGGTAAATACTAATTATTTTTTATACTAGCAACAGGTGTGCTGATTTGGCTGAATAGGATGTATTGATGTGGTGTTATTTAGATGTTAAGATAGACAAAGATCATTTCTTTAACCAATATTTATTTTTATTTAAAAAAAAACCTTAGTTTTTCGGATAAAATATAGATAAGATCCTTGCATCGCTCTCTATCTGTTCGTATAGTTGCATGACAATCGGTTCATCATCATCACCATCATCACCATCATCATCATCATCATCATCACAGCCTATAAAAGTTCAATGTTGAACATAGGCCTTCCTTTTAGATTGCTTCATAGGGGGGATTTTGCCTTAGTTGACACTTTTGGCGAGTGGGTTGTCAACCGCAGCTTTTTATTATTTTGAGTTGTTATCAGGAAGATGCTGCTGCCCATCTCCTTTCTGTGTCCCTCTGTCGCCTTTTACGACACCCACGGGAAGATATGGGGTAGTGGATATTCTTAACCGCCACTACACGGTTTCGGACAATCGGTTAAGACATTCCAAAGATTAGCCCCAACAGACAAACAAAAAATTTAAATATTTTAAGTGCTGGTCTACCACGTGCTCGGCGGTGAAGGAAAATATCGTGAGGAAGTCTATCTATTTCGAAGACATGTGAAGTTCGCCAACACGCATTGGGGCAGCGCGGCGGACACTTCCTTGTCCTAAAACCCTCTCAGAAATGAGAGGAGGCCTGTGCTCAGCAGTGGGACGTATATAGGCTGTAACTTTACTTTTTTAACTTTACATATATGTACAGATGGATTTCCTTTTCTTATTTACCATTCTATATTGGACTTTGTTTTAATAAACTGAAGTGAGAAGCGAATTTGCAGGTCACCTGATAGTAAGTGGCTACTGCGGTCTATGGACACCTGCAGCGAACTTCAAACAAAGAACGCTACAAATGCCTCGTCACCTCTGAGCATTAAGATGTACTGCCTCACAGTCTAAAATTATACTGGTTCTCTGTATATTTTCACCAGCATGGACTGCTGCTTGGCGACACTAATAGGTAAGAATGTAGCATCTACCCAGACCTTCAGACCTGTAGACTCAGGCTATTGGACCGAGAAGGACCCTTACTACCTAGTAAAAAAATGCTAATCTTTACATAGAACAAATCTGTAGAAAAATTATTTGTTCACGATTCACACAAATACTACTCGATGGATTTCCATTAAATTTGGTGTGTAGGCAGTAAATGATGGCGTATAACACATAGGCAACTTTTTATCCGCTTACGGAAGAGTCAAAAGAAGGGATATGTTTTTCTTTAAGTTTTTTTTAAGGTTTAAGTTCTATTAGTCATAAAGAGGATTTAGCTATACGTTACTCATCTCGTAACCAACCAGAAAGCACAGAATAACGGCCAGACGTTACTACTTATTAAAAAAATTCTACTAATAACTTATGTTTGTCTATTATTGAAATTTTCATATATCTTGATTTCTAAACTAAATGTAATCATAACTATTATATATACTTGTTTCACAATATTAATTTTAAATTATTAATATACTAATTATAAAAACCGATCGTTTTCGCCCCACGGCTTCATCTTATATACCCCGATGATGACGTGAAGCGAAAGCGGTAAAAGTAATTTTAAATAAATATTGTGAAAAAAGTATGTTTCCAAATCACAAAAATAACTATTATTGTATTGTGGTATTATTGATAAACTTTAAATTCAATTTGTCTTACCTGTGTTGCTGTGTTGGCAGATTGAAGAACATTTGTCGATACAAATCATGGAGCGACTCTTTTGGAGATAATCTTAATTCACATGGCTCATCCTGTTCCCCCGCAAACATGAAATTGTCGCGCTCTTTGCTCGACTGCGTTCTGTTGTCCGGGAACTTTACCTGCCAAATAAATATTACTGGCCTTACTCAATTGTGAACTGATTATGATATCTTCTTTATTAAATAGGTTATACTACTTATATCTCTGAGGAGGCCACATATAAATTTGTTGCCAACGCGCCTGTCAAGCGTGGCAAATATGAATATTGCAAAATGAGGCAATCTATGGGGGAGGCCTATATCTTAATTTTAAATAAAAACTTTTTATAATAGAATAAGGGTGACAAACGAGCACACAGTCCACCCGGTGGTAAGTGAATGCTGTGACCCATAGATATTTATCCTTGATTAAGAATCAAAACGCAGATGCGTTTTCACCCCTAAGGACTAAGATGGAAAGCCCCGTTTTCCAATAAAAAGGGTTTCTGGATCTCTACACTCACCATACAAAATAGCAGTATTAAGCTGCTATTTAATACTGGTAATCTGTGAGAGCGTGATGTTTTCCCGGTTGAGCAGACCCATTCGTGCTGGAAGTAAAAGTAAAAGCCAGAACTAAAAAGAATAAAATAATTAGGTAGGACTCCTTTTCTGCCCAGGAGCCCGTCTAGGTGAGTCCGTCTTACTTATTTCTGCGACAAAATAGCAGTGCTTGCACCACGATTAAGAAAAAAATACCGCCGACAAAACGTAAGGCGTAACGTAATTTTATGGAATAATAAGAAAACTGGTCTAAGATGAGAACCTTGGGGTACACCTCACAAATTATACTTTCATAGATAAGAAAATATATTAGGTAAACACCCGTTTTGTCTTATGTCCAGAAGACTAGAAATTAATAAAATAGGAAGCTAAAATATCACTGCTGTATTCCAGTCCGAAGAGTAAAGAGAGCCAGTATATTTACAGCCTGCAAGGCATTCCATCTTAGTCCTCAGAGGTGACAATGCTACAGCTTTGTAAGTTTGAAATTGGCTGCAGGTGCTCATGGATTGCAGTAGCCACTCACCATCAGGTAAACTGTAAGTTCGTTAGTTACTTCAGTAGCTTAAGAGACTGCCTCGTTGGCCGGTGGTTGTAATAGTGCGACTGCTGATCATGAGGTCCTGGGTTCGAATCCCGGGTCGGGACAAAAAATCAATTATTGAGAAATTCTCTAGCTAGAAATTCAATAGCTGCCCGGAGTCAGGAAGTTGGCGGGTGTCTCACCCCCGTGCCTCGGAAAGCACGTAAAGCCGTTGCTCCTGCACCTGATCTCTCTCCCGGTCGTGTCGGTTTACCGTCCCATCGGATTATGAGAGTGAGGGAAAAGAGAGTGCACCTGTGCTTGCGCATACACTTGGGCACTATAATCCTGTCCTGCGCCGATGGCTAGCCTCTGTTGAGACAGGCCGCTGTGGCCGAAATTCGGTCTGGAGGACTTTAGTTTAAGAAAAGGAACCTCAAATAATTAAACTTATATACCGAGTGGTAAAATTAAATATTTTGTACAACCGACTGCAATATAAACATCGTTCTAATGTTGATTTCAAATACGCTTTTATAAAGGATAACTTTAAAAACAACTGGTGAGATCTTGATCAAATTTATAGGGGACCACATGAGAAGCATGAGCTATCAAATAAAAAAGAAATATAATCCGACCACCTAGAAAAAAGATCTGAGGTAACACACAAAAAAATACAAATACATTCATTGAGTACTCCTCCTTTTTTTTGAAGTCGATTAATAAAGTTAAACCGACTTCAAAAACAACAAAAAATCAAATAATTTTTATATAATAGCTTCTAAAGTCAGTGCATATTGTATCAAAGAATTAGTCTGAAATTTGAATCTATTATGCGGAGACTATTTTTTATTTAAAGAGGGTATTCAGTACAAAAGTTTAATTATTATACCCTTATGAGTGAACTAAGGAATATCGCAAGTTCAAGGTAACAACTATAGTCAACCAAATCTAAGAAATACATTTTGACAGCTGTCAGACTTTTGCATTGCACCAAGCATGCCAACCAAAAAATGGAAGAGTACAATATTCGATTCTTAAAAAAATCGATATTGATTATTTAGAGTTGATATTCATTTACAGTTTGGTTTGAATAATACCAAAATAAATTAGAAACGGATAATTTTAAACACAAGATTTATCAGTTTCTTCATATTTTTGTTACTGCTTATTTCTAGAGGCACAATTATAAAAATTTAAGATTGAAACTAGATTAAAAATAAATTTATTCAATCATTTTCAGTTCAACTAGTTGAACTGTCGTTATTTAGATTAATGCTTATTTGGCTTTAAATAATGCAGTCAAAATTAATGTCTCTGAAAGTCATCCATAATATATTTTTTTGTTTTTTTACACCACTTTTGCTCAATCATCCCTTGTGACATGGACATATGCTTCAACGAATATAGAAGAAACAGTCCAAAAAGTTATAGCCGAGTCACAAAATAAGAAGACAAACACAAAATCACAAAATTACGCAGAGTGCTCACAAAATGGCGGGAGATTGAAATTACATATTGGTTTTTAACGCGGCCTTGTATATGAGTTATTTTGCCTACAAAAATTTACGTTGACAAAGTAAAAAAAATGAACTTGTTTTATTGACGACTCACGTAATTTAAGGAATTTTAAAAATAAAAATTTAATTAAACAAATAATACATCAAAAAAATTAATGATTCGATTATTTGAATATTTTTACCGATTATTTGAATATATTTGCCGATTATTCGCATAACAATTAATTTTAATCAATCAAACACTACGGTAAGGTACACAGCGACATATCATTGAAACGACGTCAAGTAAAAAAAGTTGATACTGGTTATTTTTTTAATATTTTGCTTTGTTTGAAAGATTCAAATTTAAATTTATGATAAAAAACTATATTCTTTGTAATGAAATATAGATAACTTCATAATTCTTCGGATTTACGTAAAAGGTTATTTACATTAATCGTGCGAGTATGCTTGTGCAAAGTTATTGCGGAATGATTAATGTGAAACGTCAAAAGGTACTTCTTAGATTTGGTTAACTATAAAATGTTTTTACGTGGTAGAGCCATGCTGCAATTATATTAGCAGTATAGTTGTAGCACGAATGGGTCAGCCCTACTGGGGAAGGACCACACTCTCACAGAATACCAGTGCAAAGTAGCAGCTTAACGCTGCTGTGTTTCGTATGGTGACTGTAGAGAACTGGTGACCTTTTTACTGGAAAGGAGGCATTTCATCTTAGTCCTCACAGGTGACAACGCATCTGCATTTTGATTTTTAATCGAGGATAGATGTAGTTATCTATGGGCCACAGCAATCACTTACTATCAAGTGGACTGTGTGCCCGTTTGTCATCCTTATCCTATAAAAAAAAATGTTGTCTAATTAGCTACATCAAAAAATCATCTTCTATTTTCCCACCCTTAGGCGTACATTACACGCTCATGCAGGCGTCAATCAATTCCATCAATCATGATTGACAAAAAACCGATGGTGACTGATAGGCGTACATTACGCGCTCACGCAGGCGTCAATCACTGCATTACACAGTAGGTTATTCGTCAAACACAATCGTGATTGTTGTAAAACTGACAGCCTGCATGAGCGTGTAATATATGCCATAGAGGTGAAATAGTTTCTTAAATTTTATATGGGACAACCACTGAAGTATATGCATATATTATTTAATGCAACCAGCAAAGCACAACAGATAGCAAACCTGTAAATTGTCCTGCAATGTGCGTAAATCAGGAGAAATGTCGCCGGAAGCATCGTTCTCACGCAAGTAGCTCAGCACCACGTTGCAACAGTATGTACAGACCCGCAAGCCCCCTGCGCATCCGAATATCTGACCTGTAAAGTAGTGTAAAAAAAGAACCTTGGGAAACATTGAAACATTTATTAATCACTAAGAAATAAAAATCGCGTGACCCCACAAGAGAAGTGGTGCAAAATTGCCACCGACTTGTATCCCAGAGATGGCAAGAGAAGTAGAGGACATCAACAAACAAGATGGGATGATAACTTAAAACTCAGGACTGGACATCATTCACAGAGAAGGGTAGCGCGACAGATCCCAGTATGAAAATGTTAGAGGAGGCAAACTGAGCTTCGGGACATATTATAACAAACAAGAACTTGTCTAGTATTCATATTTTTAACCAAGAAGTTCAAAATAAGAAGTCTTATTATAATAAAAAATATATAAAAAAGTATGATCACTAATAAAGTTCTTCTTCTTCTTTCTTTATTATGGCGATTTTGATCATTCGCCAATGTCAGTGGTAAAGTGTTTATTCAGTAGAATAGCTCGGCAGATACAAATACTCTGCCTGTGTGTACAAAAGATTGTGACAATACAAGTATCTTATATTTCTTTAAATCAATTTTTTTTGAACCCAATCATTTATCGGACTATAGTGAATTACCTAGAACAAATGACAAACACAGTTGTTACAGGTGTTAATGAAATCACACAATATATATATGTAGGAAGGTAGTTAAATAGAATTAATTTACAATCACAAAATACACGGATCACAGGTACTCACTCAGGTCATCAACTATAAATTGTACTGAGACTAATTTAATAGCTAGAAATAATAATAAATTCGTTTACATGAATTAATTATCCCAATAGTCTAGGATGAGCTAGTAGCGGGTTACAACAAGTGAACCGTGCCACGCCAGTGCCAAGACTGCTTTAACGGCGGCCGCTCCGTCCGTTTAATAAAATCGAGACAAGTAGCTACACGAGCGCCACTGCACGTGCAATGCGCAGGTGTGCGGTGCACGTGTTGTTTACAATAATTCCGACTACCCACAGAGGCGCTGCGACATATATATAATGAGTGTTTGTGTATGTTAAAGTGAGTCAAAATTTATAGAATGAGGCATGTCCGGATATGTTCATAGACTGAACAAAATAATATAGAACAGTCTGAAAAAAATATGGTCGGTGGTTCCCTCATCTAATCCACGTTCATACAAAGTGTGCAAGTTTGTTGGCTTTAATAAATTTGAAAAATCATGGTTTTGAAAGGATGGCACATTGTATAGCAGCATAGTGTTCACCTTTTATAGTTCGAGTAGATTTCCATAAGTTACAGCCTATATACGTCCCACTGCTGGGCATAGGCCTCCCCTCACTTCTGTGAGAGTTTTAGGGCAAGGAAGTGTCCACCGCGCTGCCCCAATGTGTGTTGGTGGACTTCACATGTCTTTGAAATAATTTTTTTATTTCTCAGACATGCAGGTCTCCTCACAATGTTTTCCTTCACTGATGAGCATGTAGTAAATCAGCACTTAAAATTGCAATTAACAATTTCATTGGTGCCGGTGAGGATCAAACTCGGTTTGTTTGCATACTTTGACTGTACAGCGAGCGCCAAGCACCTGAGCTACCATAGCCCTTGATCACTAACAAAAAGTTTGAATGTAACCAAAAAATAATAAATAAATAATAATGTAAGGGATAAATCTTAAAATTTTCTACTTAATTATAGGAATAATTTCATCAATTTGGTTAGTTTTAGTATGAAATTAAAACTGATAACCATACTCCTGGTCCCCAAGATACAGGCTAGGCCTAGTTTGGGGTCTGTCAGTAAATATTTGTATGTTATTAAAATTTGATATAAGTTACTGTTCTTTGTGTTCTGCAGCTCGTAGCTCTGTAGCCCTTTTTCAGGAATGTTTTTTTTATTTTCTTTATTTCCTTTTGTAAAGAGTGTTTATCACACTCTTAACATGTAAAACTTTCAACTCTTAACTTTTTCCCTTGCAGGACTGAGTTTTTAAATTTGAAGTAACCGAGATACCATCGTCTAACAGAAATCATGAGATCTTACATGATCTTACACAAAATTTCAATAGGCAAACGGAACAGACAAAATTGTTGATGTCGATTAACTGCAATTTTGTTAGTCTTTATTTACGAGGGTGGATTGAAAAGTACTCGGCCTAACACAGATCCATTCAATTCTAAAAATCAAATCTACCCACATTATTTAGTTCAGTTCAGACTAGTTCATTGTGTGAAGTTCGAAACGTGTGCGATAATTAGTTGTGATTTTATAAATTTATTAACAAAGTAATCGGACATAATTTCCGCGAATGGAGCAAATCGAGCAGCGTGCCGTCGTTAAGTACCTCCATAAGAAGGGGCTATCATCAAAAGCCATCCATGATGACATGGTCAGTACATTAGGCGATTGTTCTCTGTCATATTCATCCGTCAAAAAATGGATAGCAGAATTTAAGCGTGGTAGAGAGAGTGTGAAAGATGAACCTCGCTCTGGAAGGCCTTCGACGTCAACTACTGACGAAAATATTAAAAAAGTACTTGATTTAATAATGGGAGACCGCAGATTAAAAATTAGAGAGATAGCCGAGATTATAGGCATCTCTTATGAACGAACTCAAAACATCATTGTCAACGAGTTGGATTTCCACAAGGTGTCTGCGAGGTGGGTTCCGCGACTGCTTTCAGTTGAACAAAAAAGGACGCGATTACTATTTCACGCGACTGTTTGGAGTTATTTGAAGCCGATGCAGATGATTTTTTGAATCGTTTTGTTACTATGGACGAAACGTGGGTTCATTACTGTACACCGGAAACAAAACAACAATCAAAACAGCGGAGAAGACCTGGTTCACCACCCCCTAAAAAGGCTAAGTCGATTTTGTCGGCAAATAAGGTGATGGCTTCAGTATTCTGGGACTCGAAAGGTGTGATTATGATTGATTATCTTGAAAGGGGTCAGACTATAAACTCTGATTACTACTGCACCTTACTACGTCGTTTACGAGAGGAAATAAAAGAAAAACGTCGAGGAATGCTCAGAAGAAAAGTCCTGTTTCATCAAGATAACGCCCGTGTTCACACGTCAGTACAGTCAATGGCTGAAATTCACAACTGTGGCTTTGAACTGTTACCGCATCCGCCGTATTCACCTGATCTGGCACCATCAGACTTCTTTCTGTTCCCTAACCTAAAAAAGCACTTGGGAGGTCAAAGATTTTCGACAAACGACGAGGTCAAAGCAGCTGTAGACGCATATTTTGACTCTAAGGAAGAATCATTTTTTTTCGACGGTCTAAATGCTTGGAAGGGGAGGTGGCAAAAGTGTATTGAACTTGATGGTGATTATGTAGAAAAATAAAAATATAACTGATTTAGTATACGTTTATTTTCTTGGTTAGGCCGAGTACTTTTCAATCCACCCTCGTATAATATATTGTTAGCCAGTATCAGAGTACACTACATTTTTCTTAGGGGATGTGATCTACTAGCAGAACCTGTAGAAACTGCGAGCACACATCAGCACATGAAAATGTCATGAAGTGTGGAAAGATCAATATGGAATATCCTGTACAGTTTAGTACTTTATATCTGTTATACTAACCTGGGACTCGTTGGCTGCAGCATCGTGAGCAGAAAATCTGTCCACATACGCGGCAATGGTGCCGCCTACGTAGTGTCCCAAACCGAGCCGCACACTCATAACATTCACGAGAGATGTCATCAGGCATCCAGTAACGAGCCAGCTCTGTGTCTGCATATCGAGTGCCACCCTGAAATAATTATTAAGCCAAAAATCTATCTTATATTCAAACTTCCTCAAATTCAAAGCCTAAAATGTATGTATCCCCTTAACAGTATCTTTCTAAATGGTGTCATTTCTTATAAGTTGCAACCACTTGTATTTACTGCCTGGGAGAAAAAATTTACTTATTTTTAAATAAATGGGTACAATGTCATGGTTTATACAATAAAACTGGCTTGCCAGGCAGACATTGTTTTGCCCTTTACGTCCCTGTCATGTCCTATTAAAAATCCTTAAATTCCCAAAAAAATTGTGGGTCACTCATGGGAAAAAAACTATGCTATCTCTCAAGTTGGACCAAACTGCACACAGTGTGTAATATATATATTTAGATGTAATAAACATGTTTTTCTCATCTAAATTTATATATTATTTATAACATTAGCGCTAAAAGCGAAGTCCAGTAAAATCTGTTTATGACTCTGCCTATATTGACCAACTGCTTATTGTTAAGTAATTACACAGCGAATTCTGGTTTTCATATAACATTCTTTAAAACAAAGTTCATTATAATGAATAAATTGTATCGGGTTATAGTGACCGCCATGATTCCTAACACCTTCGGCAGTATTCGGGAGAGTCATCTCATATTTGACAATGTTCCGCGCGTGCATGGCTTTTTTGTTTTGTATTTCACTCTCAGTGGGTAATTGATAGTTGAAGGTCACGCATTGTTTGTTAGTGATTCGTGAAAAAAAGGGCTTTCTCAACGTCTTCATAAAGCATTTACGATTGAGGATAAAGATGTAATAATAAACAGATATGATTATCTCTATTTCATTTCTCTCTATTAAAATAAATACATACTAACAAAGACAGGAGATTGTTTTTTTCTAAAAAATGCTTTTAATGACGTCCCCTTAGTATGGATGTGATTTTACTTCCTTTCGATGTCATTATAAGCTTATTATATGTGGTAGAGCCATGCTGCAGTTATATTAGTAGTATAGCTGTAGCACAAATGGGTTGGCTCAAGCGGGGAAGTACACTCTCACAGAATACCAGCCTAAAATAGTAGCTTAGTGCTGCTGTGTTTCGTATAGTGAGTGTAGAAAACCGGAGACCCTTTTTACTGGAAACGAGGCATTCCATCTTAGTCTTCATGGGTGACAATGCATCTGCATTTTGAATCATAATTGAGGATAGATGTAGATGTCTATAGGCTACAGCAACCAGTTACCATCATGTGGACTGTGTGCTCGTTTGTCACCCTATACTATAAAAAAAACAGATTCTACTGTATAATAACAATTAAAGTATTTTAAAAATACAAAGTGGCGGAAAATGGTGGGAATTGAATTGGTGCAATCTTTGACAGTTACTGACTGATAGATGTTTGACACATAGGCGCATTAAAAAAGACGTTACCCCTACACTAGGATTTTCTCCTGTATTGTGGGGGCAGTTTACAAACATAAATTGCACAAGGACAAACATCTAGACCCGGAACAATTATTTGTAGGTCACACAAATACTTGATCCATGCGGGATTAGAACCCGCGACTCTAGCACAGCCACTCATAGCTAAGCCACTGTGCCACAGAGTCGTCGTTGGGTTGGGTGTGTTGACTGTAGAAAGGGACTGTAGAAGGGGAAATATATAAACCTGAGTTTAAAAGCTTACTGTCAATATTTAATACTTAGATTGTAATGTCCTTAAGACCTAATTTCAGCCTTGGCAGCAAGTCTAGACCGACACAGAGGCACAGGGCTCATACTAAGAATTTTATAGACTGCAATACAAATACCTAATCATAGCCCAATCTAGGATTAAAACCTGGGACTTTATGATCAACAGACTAAGAGCGAGCCTGTTGATATAACCACTTGTCTAACAAGGCAGTGGAAATGTATGTATATAGGTAGTAGAACTCTTTTCTTGCCTAGGTATGCATCTAGGTAGGTACCATCCTCCTCCACTGTTAATTTTCAACTATCAGATTTAACTAAAATTACTCAAATATAATGGATTTTGGAAGACTTCAAGATAATTGATACATCTTCACTAACCCCTACTAACATAAAAATATTCCCCTCGTCTGCCGGCCGGCCATTTTGCAAATACGTCGCGTCTGCTAGGGCCTTAGCAGGTAATTTTGCGATATCGGCGCGTGGCGATTAAATTAGTAATTTCTCTAAAATATTGTATGGAAGCTATTTATAAAACTTATGTCATATGAATTGTTATATTATTTGCTATTACTCTGTAGATATCTTAGTTGAATACAACTTAATAGATTTTATTAAGCCAATTTCAAAGTTCGAAAACCAAATTTTTAATAGTATTTTGTGCATAATTTGTGAAAATTAAACATAAAAATCATTCTTTTATAAAATAAATGTAATTTATTTTCATCAATATACACTAATTTATAATAAAAAAGCAAAAAAAACCACACATTCCTATATATTTTTACCTCAAAAGTTTTTTACAATCTTAACACATGAACGGCAACCCAAGCGTCGCACAAAAAATAGCATATATTGTTAGTTTTATTTTGAGAAATGAGCAAGTCAAGTGGCGTACGATAATTTTAACATTAAGTATGGCTCAAGTCCTTAATTTAGACAAAGTTTCATTTCTAAAAAGAATGTAATGTATTTTTAATCAACAATAGAGATAAATGTAAGGTAAGTAAGTATAACGACCGTTTATGTTCGAATTTTTTTTTATAAAAAGGATACATATCCCTAAATTATGAATTAAAAACTGTTGGTTATTAACCCTTCTATGTTTGAATAGCACCTAACTTCTCTAATTTGTTCGATTTAGGAATAAAATAAGGACAAAAACCGGGACGGGTGACCACATGAAAGTGACGTTCGCATGCGACTGCTACATAGGTGTTTATTCGAAATTTCTAAACATTGTAGTACTTTAGTAGCTTTGTATCGCATCCTCTTTCTTTGGTATATAATTTTCTATAAGTAAAAGTGTGATAAAAATCATTGTCGCTGGTTATTTTACCCGCCAAATACGCAGTCGCGGATCGGCCAGATTCTGGTCGCTTGCCAGACGCGCGTAATTAACCATCGGCCAGAATCTGGCCGGTCGCCACACAAGGGGATATAGAACCAATATTCATCGTTGCCGTCTGTAAAGCTGAGCTAATTACCTCAATAAAACTATTTTAAAACCATATTATGTCATTCTAAAATTTTTAGAGTTAAAATATAACATTTAAAATAACATATAAAATATATACCCCGGAACCCAATGCAATGAGACTGCTGATCCTTTGTAAAACATTAGGTAAACTTCTACCCTCAAATTCGACGGCATAAGTTCCAGACTCTGTCTTCGCATCATCATAAGCTTGCTTACATGCCTCGTCAGCTTGACCATCTGATTGTTTCTTGTTCGTCAGTGCCTTATTTTCCGTATCATCTGTTGTTTCATTAGGAGAAAACAGTGGCAATTTCCAAAGCCTATTGAAGAACGTTGTCACACCACTGTGATTAGATTCTGATTCGAAGCGTGGAAATTCAGTTAGTTGAGATATATCGTACTTATCCATGTTGGAGAACTAGTTGATATTCCAAAGTAATGAAATGACTATATCAACATTCCTTGAATCAAATAATTTGTTTTCATTACAAGGTACAAGCTGCCAAGCTACAAAATTTAATTACATATGTCAATGTCACTGTCACTTCTACTGTCAGTGTATAGTGGGAGTGGTCGTTACAAATCGTAACTAGTTACTGAAACCACTGAAACTATCTATTCACAAAATGGCGGGTAGCGGGTTATTGCAGTGCAACGAAACTATCTATTACAGTAGATGTTTAACTCAGCAACACGTTTCACGAATCACGAACGAGCGATCAGTAACAATAACAAAACGTTTATTCGACTATTTTCCAACCACATGAGTAAAGAAACCGACTCTTTACGCTGTGGCAGAAGTACAACCGATCGTCGAATGTAGAGTGAGCGCCGGTGCTTTTGCATTTGTCCTATGACTCTATTCCCTTTGTATAGATGCGATATTAGAAATGAGAAAGTAAGTGTGCATGTTTTTAACAAAAAATAGTTCAAATTCCATATTTTAAGTGGCCTTGGCCCGGTTTAAATTAGTCTTGTGTTTAAGTTTAATGACACGGTTTGCTTTTACTTTTTAGGCGCGTTTGCTAATATTTTTGTTTTATTTTTGTGCAATAATAATGTTACGAGCTTGAGGTTCGTGACAATAAAAATTGCCGATAGAATTACCTAAATTATATAACACTTTAATTTTCTTTACACCAATTAAAACTTAAAACACTAAAAATTAATCACACTGATTCACTTTTGGTTGCGCGGAAAACCATTCGTATTTATTTATTTGGCTGTAGGCTTGCCAAATCGTTTATCCCTTTCCAAACGATATCATTCATACCTCCTATCAACACATCGGGGTGGTGGGGTGGGAGGGGAATGAAGATGATTCTAGAATATTACGTAATCATAGCAACCGAAGGAATAAAAAGGCACGCGCGGCCAACGCGCGCCCTCTTCCCGCCGCGCTCGTCGTTGGAACCACACCGCCTAGGATAATAGTGTTCTAAAGAGCTCTTGCCCACGCGCCCCGCTAGTATAACCGCTTAGCCTGAAGCAGTCGAGCTCCAGGAAATCCGACGCGTCATCGGACAAGAAAGGCAGAGAGTCTACCCAGAGTATCTTCCGGAAGTCGCAGCATAGAAGCAACACCCCGGTGAGTGAACATTCCTTACTAGTTACTGCTTGATATAATTGTGTCCGCTCCAATTTATTTTCTCCTAATCAAGCAGGATTCCTTTCATAGATTTGGCAAATAATAATTCGTTTTAGGGAAGAGCGAGTGCATTGTACCGCGTGCTATAGTCGCCATTTTATGTAAACGTAGAAGCATTTCGCATGTACAGTCCACTTTGGTTAATATCTCGCGTAATAGGTTTAAGGCTCGACCGGGGAATTGGACTTCGGTAGCCTTAGGCTCGTCGCTCCCAGCCCCCCGCTAACGACGCCATAGAGCGACAAACCACTCAGTGGAGTAAGCGGGGGAGGAAGAAGAAGAAGAAGAAGGTGCAGCCTCCTCCTCAGGCAGCAACCTCTACCCCAACCCCAGCGGTAACGATAGCCCAGGCGCAGGTTACCAAGGAGGACAAGAAAGCCAAAATGGGTAGAGTGCCAGAAAGGGCTCTATCAGAAAATAGAGCCCGCTCTACACATAGAGCGCGCTCTACCCACACGCAAAGAGCAGTAAACCTCAGCGCACGTCGACCTCGTCGTCCGCAGAGCACGATGTACGCGGGCGATGCTCCGTCCGGTCCTGGCATCCAAGTTACCACTTAACACCAAAGTGCGAGTTTATAAAACCTACATTAGATCCATCATCACGTATGCTGCTCCGGCCTGGTACGCGCTTCTGAGCGAGCGACTGCAGGCCCAGCAAAATATGGCGTTAAGAACCATCGTCGGTGTGGGTTGCTACGTCCGGAATGACGTCATAGCGGCCAACCTGAAGATCAACACCATCCAGGAATTTGTGGCCCGGTTGGCGCGAGGATTGTTCGACCGCGCAGACAACGGGCCGCATATACACCTTAACAACCGGACGGGCGACCCTATCCAAGAGAACTCCTCTCTATATCGATTAGAGAGTCGAGTAACAACCCTCAATGCCGCTGAAAGGCCAACCCTGACTTTACTAGATAACCTTTTTTCGTAGTCTTAACCGGCTACGAAAAAATTTTACCGATTACGGACAAATCCGAATTTTGATACCGACAACGCCAATAGAAGGCTCCCAGGACCGGTCCATAGTGGTGGACCGCGAGGACAGCACGGGTAATGGGGGCTTACCCCGAGGCCCGAAACCTCCATGTGCCCTAAGACACATGAAGAAGACAATCAACTCGCCCTCCAGACGGGCGACCCTATCCAAGAGAACTCCTCTCTATATCGATTAGAGAGTCGAGTAACAACCCACAATGCCGCTGATAGGCCAACTTTGACTTCACCGGACGACCTCTTTTTTTCGTAGTCTAATCGACTACGAAAAATAAACCGATCACGGACAACTCCGTATAAAACACCTACAATGCCATAAGAAGGCTCCCAGGACCGGTCCATAGTGGTGGACCGCGAGGATAGCACGGGTAATGGGGGCATACCCCGAGGCCCGAACCCTACATGTCTCATGGGGCATGGAGACGACAGTCAACAACGGTGGGAGCTGCGGAGGTAGAGGCAGCGGCGGAGGGTGTGCGGGCGGCGGCGGCGGCGGCGGCCGCTGAGGCGGGTAGAGTGCGAGAAGTCGCAGCGCGTTTTGGGCCGCGCTTAGATTTCACTAGCGTGAATTGGGCTGAGTCGGTTATGGTTCCTTCGGAGTCTGATGAATCCGAGGAGCCGGTGGATCTGAGGGCGGTCCTCTTCCGGGAGGATGAAGTAACGGACGTGGTGTCCGAGTGCTCCATATCGGAGTCGGGGGACACGTGCAAGTCGGTCTGCGGGGCAGCCGCTTGGGTCGCGTGGAAAGCCGCGACGGCAGGCGGGGGGTACACATGCCATAGAGGCAGCGGGGGGGGGAATGGCTTTGGCGAGAAGGGTCTCGTCAATTTGGGCGGTTGTGGGTATTCCTGCGGCTTGGATCATTTGTACGATCGTGGCCGCAACTTTGCTTATGAGTGTGCTTATGTCTGTGGAAGACATGTTGATCTGGACAGGGGGGCGATTTATTCTATGAAAACTAGAGGTCCCTGTTCTGAGAAGAACAGGGCCTTGGGGGCAGATGGGGAGGACTGACGATCTATTCCCAGAAGCTGGGGTCCCTATGTTCTGAAAAGAACAAGGGCTCGCTCTGAGAAGAGCAAGAGACGATCTTCTAAGAACAGTATATACTTGATAGAATCAGGCGTTACTTTGCGGAAATCCATTATAATAAAAAATAAAAATATAAATTTCTTTGCAACTTTCCGCTAAACATATAAAATGATGTGTCTTACCTGGAATGAAGCGCACCTCCCGCCCTCCCTCAATTGCATACACTAACTCCGTCACCACTATACCAAGCACCACTACTCTCAACACCACTATTCCAGGCAAGACACACCATCGACGATAATACGACACGTGTTTCGCCTCTACACGAGGCATCATCAGGTAATATAGACTCTACGGCGGCTGACCGCTAAGTGAGCGGCGAGTCGAAACAGTTGCTATTTATACACGCTGACACAATCGCTCCCTACCAAAGTAGCGAGTGACCGCGTCGTGCGATAACAAAACTGCCAACAGTTATTATTATTGTTACGATTATTTTTAAATACTATTATTATTATTGTTTTGAGTGACCGCGCCGTGCGATAACAAATCTGCTACTAATTATTATTATTGTTATGATTAATATTTTTTAAATACTATTATTATTATTGTTTTATTGATATTATTATAATTATTTATTATTATTAATCTTAAAATTATTATTAAAGATTGGCCTTAAAGATGTTTAACAAAGGTGAATTAGAAACATTTGTTTGTTCATTCAGCAGTGTATAATTACCATTATTACTTTTTAAAATCTCCAACTGCTCCAGCACACACAGTCGCAGCCCCTTATTACAGGTATGTAACACTTCAAAGGAATGGTCGCTAGCTAGGTTGTGTCCAGTGTCCAAGAGATGTTTAGCAAAATGGGATTTATCAGGATTGCAATTTCTGTACGCGGCCATATGTTCTTTATAGCGCGTCCCGAAATTGCGACCAGTCTGACCCACGTAAACGGCGTGGCATTCGTCACAAACAAGTTTATAAACACCCGATTTTTGACTCAAAACAATAATAATAATAGTATTTAAAAATAATCGTAACAATAATAATAACTGTTGGCAGTTTTGTTATCGCACGACGCGGTCACTCGCTACTTTGGTAGGGAGCGATTGTGTCAGCGTGTATAAATAGCAACTGTTTCGACTCGCCGCTCACTTAGCGGTCAGCCGCCGTAGAGTCTATATTACCTGATGATGCCTCGTGTAGAGGCGAAACACGTGTCGTATTATCGTCGATGGTGTGTCTTGCCTGGAATAGTGGTGTTGAGAGTAGTGGTGCTTGGTATAGTGGTGACGGAGTTAGTGTATGCAATTGAGGGAGGGCGGGAGGTGCGCTTCATTCCAGGTAAGACACATCATTTTATATGTTTAGCGGAAAGTTGCAAAGAAATTTATATTTTTATTTTTTATAACAGTATATACAACAAGTATAACAAAAACAATAACAGAAAAATTAAAAATAAAACAAAACAAGCGAAGCGTGCTCAAGCCTCCCCGCCGGAGCAAGGGGGCAAGAACGATGCGAAAAACAAAGTGACTCGCCAACGGCGTATGCTCGGCCGGTGTTAGCCGGGCGCGCGGGCAAGCGGTTGCGCTACCGAAGGGTCGGAGCGCGAAAGAACTGTGTGCACGACCGCTCGGGGGGCGGCGCGCAAACACTGTGAGCGGCGAGTTTTTTTTTTTTGCGCCCGAAGCAAATATGGGCAACCCTCCGGAAAGCGGGGGA